TCCTGAGCTTTTATGTTCTGGTCTAGATCGGCTATCTTTTAATTAAATTGCTAATTAGAATGGGTCTCGTTAAAGATTTATAGCTTCTGCGTCTTTGTCATGTAGGTTAATTTAAATATGTGTTGTATCAGGTCGTCTATTACCTACACTATCAAGGTAATATATCTTAATCAATTTGGATCCCGATAGAATCAAAGAGAAAATTTATTCAGCTATTAAAACAGACTTAGAAAAGATAAGATACAGAGCAATATTGGCTACTGATATATTTTTTCGTCTGATTTCTCTAGAGGCATAGTGACATGAGAGCCAATTTGTGGAGCAAAGGGGGTTGCCACACCCTTTAAAAATAATTCATTTTCTTTAGTGTCCAAGTATTAAGTTGTCCACCCATCCGTTCACCAGCCTAGCTAGTTCTACAGGGTGGGGTAGGGGGAGCCATGTTGATGGTTGATAGTATGTGTAATGTGTATTATTATTGCAAATGGTTGAACAATGTTAACACAAATTTTGTAATATGGACAAATCCTTTGCGCTGAAAAATGGAATTGATTGTGAGGATGATGGCTGGCAACCCTTTCAAGTTTATTTTGTATCAATAAACTATAGAATGATGCAAAATTCCAAACTTTAAAGACAAAAACATTAAGTAAATTTAAGTATGTAGTTTCTAAAAATTCAATATTTTGACTTGATTATAGATTATGTGTATGTATGTATCTTATAGATAAATTGTTGGTGTATAGTGACAATAAGATGAAATTACTGGGAACATGTGATGTTGTTAATTTATTGTGTTGTCAACACTGTTATAGATACACTGAAAACACTGTCGTAGAGCAGTTTCATTGACTGACTAAACTGAACCAAAATATCTGATTTGCTACAAGCATTCAACACACTTGCATGATCCTGTTATTGATTCACACAATTATTTGGACTTATATAATAACCAATCATCATGAAATGGACTTAATAATATATTGTAGGGTTCATGGTTTTAATATGAGATTGGATGTGGTTGATAATAAATTGGAAGAAATTAAAAAACAGCTTGGCTTACCTCTCTTGTTAAAAAAACCCCAACTAACCAAACACTTTCAATATTTTTTTTATATTGTTGTTGAGAATGAGAACAAAGTGTATGGTATTTTTCAAGATAATAAATGTCACTTTTTCTTTTGTTTATATTTATGAATTGAGACAGGATATGTTTATTTATAAGTTGTACTAGATAGAGAACTATCTCACTAGATCTTTTACCTACTGATTAGCTTAATTTGGATGATTTCCAAAAAACAGAAGCAACTGGAATTACACCCACGTATCACCTTTTCACCTTAATGAATATTTTTTGTTTGGAGGGGTTGGAGAATGAGTTATCAATAACAAGAATGATTAACTTGTATATTTTTACAATTAAATATAATATAAAAAAAGTTACTTTTGTAATTATTTCGAATAAATCACATTTAGGCAAATTATTATAAGGCAGCTGAAAGAATCTACCAAATTTATCATCAAAGTTAGAGGTCATGTTAAAGAGACATTCCTTGATATTACTTTGCTATTTGCCGTGGAGACAAGAGATGACATTGGGAGCAGTCAGAGTCCTAAGCATGATATTTTAGATTACTATCTTATAAAGCAATTCTTGTAAGCAGTTTGTTGATGTGCTGTCAGGTTCATTATCTGGATAATCAAGATAATTTTACTACTGTCTGAGCCATCATTAATAATAAAGTGATTTTTGTGCGTGGGAATATTTAATTGTATAATGGATATTATTTTCCTAGAAGTAATTTCAAACACATGGATAAGTTTTTAATTACCATAATTAAGCAGTCTGTTCATTCAAGACAGTAACTCTAGGACAAGCACAAGTATAGACATGATTATCCAGGCCAAGGCCTTATTTATTTTCAAATATAATTGTGTAATTAATTACACTAATTCCTTTCCTGGTAACTTTGGGAAAAGGTAATATTTTGAAAAGAAAAACAAATTGATAGGGTAAGTAGATCAAATCTATCAATATTTCCATTGTACTGTCGAACCAGACATCTTTTGTGAAATCTCTCCGCAAGACCAAATTCAGCAATGCCCCTGAAAATTTTTGGTAAAAAAATCTTTATTCAATCAGCTCCTTAAAGTAGCAATTTCATATTTTTACGTTATATTTTTAAAATTTATTAAAATAAAGCCTTAAAATAGATGGTATCTATAAACAGCCCTACCTTGTTAAAGAATAATCCTATTAATCCTATTATTCACGATTGCCAGTTGAGAAATTGGCAAAAATATCATTTTCCTCTTCAAATTCAAACGTTTGAAAATCGCTACTCCATGGTGGAGAATAGAAAACAAGGGAGATAATTGTTATTATTTCCGGTGTGAATGGGTTTTAAGTGTGAGAATGACACCTATGATCGTATAATAGTGAGTTGACAACCTATTGAGCAAAAGACATAGAAATAATTATGTTTTGACTTTCTTAGAAAATATGAAATTGTAACTTTAAGAAAAGGAAAAGTTTTAAATGTATATAGTGATTCATTACTAATACAGAAAAAAGGAAGTCATGTTTGTTACACTGAGGACAATATTCTTTCCATAAATCACAGTAGTTTTGTGTATTAGCTTACCAGATGGAACCACTTGTCACAATATGGAATTCATCATTACTACCTAATGTCTACTGTTGAATGTCTGTAACCACGGTTATGGCGCCATGTTTGCTTACTGATGGCTTTTGTCTTATTTTCCTATATTTAACAACTATTTCATTGTCATGTACTCACGTATAAGTGTTCTTTTTTTTTCTCATCAAAGTTTAAATCAAAATTGACAATGTTTTTTTCTTTTAGAGGAAATCGTACATTACTTGGGGAATACCATAGTTTTCGTAAAGTATCTGTTTTAAATTTGTCAGTTGGTTGTATCATGGTCCATGGTTGTATTTTGAAAACAGAAAATTTATTTAAGGTCTATAAAAGACACTATTTATCGTTAAATGGTTGTCCCATTCTGTATTCATTGTAGTTTCTATGGTTATTATCAGTAATGACATTGTTAAAATAACTAGACCTTATAAAACCTATTTAATTTTATACTTTAAAGTGTGAGAGGAATGGTTCTGAGAATGGAACTGTAACATTATATTAACAGCTACCAATCAGAACCACTGAAGTGATGTGGTCTCGGAACCATCGTGAGAATAGCACAGTTAAAAATTTATGGTGTAAAAGGCATCCATTTTCAGAACAGTGCTCAGTGGATCATTAGTAACCGTGACCTTATTTCAAGCAAATAGGTTATTCCAAATGGACATGATTTTTCGCTTTTGTTCATACGACCAATGTGCATGGGAGACTTATATTAACTTTTCTTTGAAGAGTTCTACATATAGTGTACCAAAAACAGCTATTGATTTGGACAAAAACTGAAAGTGTCAATTTATTTAAGTTTCATGTTTTGATTTGCTTTGTGAGGTAGATATTTGTGTACCTTTTAAACTTTAGGACCACATATAATCAATATTGAGACGTAACAGTTTAAGGTAGAAACAAAACTAAAATTAGTAAACAAAATGACCACATTTAATTATATAGATTTTCTCCTATCACTATTTGAAATAACTGATCAGAACAACCTCATTTTTACCTCCTTTACATTAATATTAACAAGTATAATCAATGCCAATAACGTGACATTTAATTTCATTCTTCATGAATGATAATTATATTAAATTTGTTGATTACCATAATCTCTGTCAGTTGCTGTAGAAGACGTTATAGTCGTTCTATGATAATGTCTTGATTCATGTACAATATCTTATTGTGAGGTATAACCTTGACCTCTACATATAGATTATCAACACATGTATAGCTTTTATCTACATCTGCTGTTAAAACTGAAATCCGGAAGAAATCCTTTTCGGTGCACACAATGTAATTTAGACAGAGAATTGCTACATGTACCCAGACCTAGATCCTAATTAAAATCCAAATGTTTGGATTTATGTATTTTGTAGACTTTATTTTCTGGTTTAATTCTGGGATGAGAAACCGAGGTTCACCTGTGTACAAATTGGCTTGCCTGTAAGAACCCTTGGCAGTACGTGGAATTGCTGCGCTTCGGGCAAAATTGCCCCCCCCCCCTCCATAGAAATGAAATTTAACATACAGTGTTAATCATATATTATGTACTTCTTGGATTTGAGAAGTGTTTAATAATGTGATTTGTGGATGACATCAGACAATATTCTATTTAATTGTGGAATCAATAATTTCCCAAATTTTTTAGCCACAGAAAAGAGGGATCGACCGGTCTTACTCCATTCGTTGGTAAACCATAAATCTATCATTAGTACATTGGGTATATATACCTGCTGTACTAAGGATGGTGGTACCAATAAGTCAAACTCATAGTAAATGTCATTAGGGTGGTAACATTACTAACAAAAATACCACAAATTGGTCAGCTTAGCTTTTATTTATATACACAAAGGTCAGATCATTAATGAATGGATTTTATTAGCTATTTACAATAGTTCATGTAATGGTCATCATGAAATAAGATTAGAGGATAATGTTTTAAACATATACAAGTTTATTTAAGTTCATAGGTTTTTGTTGATTGGAGACAAATTTAATTTAAAGTTTTGTGATTTGACAGTTGTGGAATAAAGAACATGTATCTCTGCCACTACCTTGATGCAGTGGCGATGCAAGGGTGGGTGGGGGACGTGTTTGGACACGGCTGTTGACTAGAGAAAAACTGCTATAAACTAAATGGTGCGGTAGGTGGAAGTAATATTTGTAGCAACTGCCTTTTTAAGAATCTAAAGATGCTTGGCAGATCAGTGAGTAATAAAGGATCCCCATACCCAATATTTATCAGAATTAAAAATAGTGCACCCTTAAATCTATGTTACCCTTACTTCTTGTTCTTCTAAAACTTTCTTCGTCTTTAATGTTACACAACAAACTTAACTAGCACCCATTTCATTCTGTTTATTGATTAAAAGCTTTAGATAACACAATAGGTTTTTTTCTTAACACTTTTTCCTCTGTCATTTTCTCAACAGTTTCAAAGAAACAGAATGGCTTCATTTTAAAAATCAATAACTGTAAAGATTTTTCTTCTTTGATAACACTAACGTGAAGAGAGGTGTCATTCCCAGCAACTGTTTTAAAGTAAAAAACTCAATTACATTTAAAATGTCATTTTACACCTAAGGTTCTACAGAAACAAAAATCAAGCGTAATTTGAGTTGCTAGACTTCATGTGAAATTTAAAACTTTGTGAATACCTGTAATATGAAAGACGACAATAAAAAGTGAAACTATCACCCCAGCCCTGCCCTATTTAATAAGTTATTTTGCCTAATGTTCGAAAACCATAACAGATCAGTAGCCTGATTTTTCACTTGGGATTCTGTGACCTCACCATACCTTGGATGTCAGTGGCCACCGACTACCGACGGAGAACGGCGGAAATTACTAATGTTGAAATTTACCTGTTGCAGGTATTATTGACGTTCGGGCTCGGGTTATACTTATGGAAAGGATATGTTGACATAATTACTTGCATTATTTAAAAAAAAATTGATGCTTTTCCGGTGACCTTTAATGTATCATATTTATACTGTTACTTGGGATGAACAATACTGAAAATAAAGAAGATAAAAAGTATTGATGTGTGAAAAAAAGAAAGGATAAGATAAAATATTTATAAATGCACACAATGGATATATACAGTCAGGTATAAACATATTGATTATTACAACTAGATATAGTATAATATTTCCTAGTGTCCAGAAATGATTTTATTAAAAGACTGTCTGTAACTGGTTGGAAAAAGGTGTGAAAGGTGTGACTTAAAATAGACAATAAATAACCCCATTCACACTATTAAAATATAACTTTTCTACAATGAACTGGGTTAACAATCTTCTGGCACTGATAGTGTAAATTGGTACAAATTCTGGCAGACAAAAATAGAGGAGTGGGGTTATTGTAATGGTCATCAAATTTATTTTAGTGATATGTCATTTGTCATACCTGTTATAACCCCATCACAGTGACCTGCCTAATGTTCCACTATCTCCTGGAACAGCATCAACAATTCATTTAGCAGCCCTTAATTGTAGAATTATCTTCTTTTTTTGACAACAATTCACCAGATGAAATAACAAACTTCAAAATATACAGTGTAAATAAACAGTTATGTATAGAACTAAAGAGAGTAGAGAGAAAATAGAATTGTGTAATGAATGGAAGTTGGTAGGGGATATAGCGTATTAAAGAAGTCATGGTCTGTATTAACCTACCAATGTTATACTGTAAACTTAGTGGGTGGAAAGAGAATTGGCTAGTGTCCCACATTCACTAAATATTTTACATTATCACATGTTAACAGACTCATGATGGCCACCATAACACCACTGTTACTATTATAGACACACAGACACAATCTTATTTAATTTATTTAAAATTTAATACAACCTAGAATTGATCTAATCATTGGAATTATTTGGTTTCCAGTCATATAATCTTTAATGTTGAAATAAATGAGATCATTTTTCAACTTCATCTTTAATTAGGGAAAGATTATTAAATTGAATATTATGAAGAATCAGAGATTAGCTAAGCATCAAGGCGTTACTAGAAATGATAAAGCAACATACTGTATAAAGTATGGTAATACATGTCTGTTAGAATAAACAGGAACTCTTCAATATGGTTAATAGATGTTCTAATACATCCTGGTGTACTAGTACCAAATCATCTCTATCTACATCTAAATAAACACAGTGTAGGTGTTGATACTACCCTAGATAATATAAAAAAAATATATACCTACCTACATAAATAACATTTATGATAAATACCAGTACTTGAATAAACCCATTTTAATGACAGTTGTTGGGCTATTTTATTATAACAAAAGGTGCTTTGAGTATCTTTTTGTTTTTAAGTAACCATTTAGATGGTGTTCCAGAATATAAAGCATTATCTACTTTTTAGAACATCTGATGCCACTTTTCTGTTCACATCACATTTTTGTTGCACATTTGTATGTTGTAAATTATCTTGCCAATTTAATTATCCATTTATTCTTTTCGAGTAGAGGTTGTATTTGATTAAGAATCAAAGTACATGTATGGACATTGTAATTCAGTTGTCTGAAAAATCGAATATGAAAATATAAGTTGTGAAGAGTGCTGTAGTCCTGGGAAATTATGTATGGGACATGTATAGTTGTCAGGCACACATCTGGAATTAAACATCACAATTCTCATTGGCTATAGATCATTTTATGTATATACCAGACAACTGTCTTCAAACATTATATGTAGTCTGTGACTGCTGTAATATATAAAACAATACACATACATAAATGTTTGATGTAGGTGTACATATTATTGATGAAGAGAGAGAGAGAGGTGGGGTTTAACGTCCACTCAACACAAACTAGGTCATTTTGGAATTAACACATGTTTCAATTTTATTTCAATAATTCGCTTGCACATAGGGGTCTTTAGCAGGGGAAGTAAACCAGAGGACCCGGAGAAAACCCACAAGGTTGGACAGGCAACCCTACTCCTTGTCGTGTACAACCGGGGAATCGAAACAGACCTTATGATACAGTGTGCTCCTGCTAACCATTCGGCCATCCAACCCCGCTGATGAAATATGGGCAGACAACTCATATATTGCCCCAAATTATGTCTTATCACTGGAATATATAGTATTTTTATGTATTGTATTTTCTATTTTCAGTAATGAACAGATATTTTCATGGGAGTTTGAGGTAGAAGAAGAAGCTCATGGTCCAGAAACAGGCAGAATAATCTGGAATATAGACTACGAGAAAAATCGACCAACAGTAAAACAACATGATTCCCGTGTTACTGCAAGAATTCAGATTGTTAGTGATGACCAGAAGAAAATTATTCCTGTATTCAAGGTAGGACCCCCCCCCCCCCACTTTATTTGGTATGAATGTATTTTGATTGTTTTCCAAAGTGTTGTCAGGAATGGATTGAGAGGGTGAGGTACGTGAACACATGGCCACAATCCACCCTATGCCTGTTAATATTTCAGTTTATGGTAAAAAATGCTTCCTTAAACTGAAACTCACATGTTATGTAAAAAAAAAATTATATTTTGAAACAAACCTTTCTTCCAGAGTGGCATTGCTTTGGAGATATTTTGTATCTTATCAAATGTGAAAACAAATAGGGGTTATCTATTTAAAAAAAAGGAGAAATAAACATGAAATTGACTATACTGTACATAGACATCTATTAAAAGATATCAGATCAGACTTCAAAATACAATATGATTTGCTGGCCATTTATCGTTATAGAAGAGAATATGTTATGAATTATTAATAGGTGTAATTACACATTTTGTATTAAAGATATGAAAAGCATTATAATTAGTGATGAAGACAGTCTGCTTTTGTTCAAGCGACAGGCAACCTACAAAAAATCAATTTGTTTTGTTTTCTGGAACTTTTGTTAAGGGGAATTATGGGAGATTAGATAAAGAGCTGACACTTCTCACTATAATAGTTAAAAAATAAATAGATAACGTAATTAGAATATGCTGAAAATTTCAGTCAAATTGCTCCACTCTAAAACGAGGTATTAAATTTTGAATTTTAATCCCAGCCTCGATCTACATTACTAAAGTTGGTACAATAAAAAACATAGTTTCGATTATCCATTTTGGATTTAATCATTAATGAGTGTTGAGCAGCAAATTGGATTTTAAATCCAGTAAATATTGCAAGCTAGCATTGACATCGAGAGATGATTATGGTCTGGATAAGTTAATTAATGTCTACTTAATAATTTAGAAAACATAAGAAAGACCTGCAATAGGCAGATATAGCTCCTGCATAATGTATGTTTAAGTTTTGAATTCCTTGTCGATTCTCTATTGTTGAATGCTATTGAATGCTATTTGGAAAATATTGCCAAACGGGCTCAAACTGTGTGAGAACGGTGTGAAATAGTAGCAACTGTTTATGGCCTGTTTAAGAACTGCAAGGACAGAATCAGACTGACTTGGATAGGAAGAGTGCCCTAGAATTTTGAGCCTGTTCAAAATGTTCCCCATTCTGCAGCCTGCAATTAGACAGAGTGACAACATACTTAAAACGAGATGGACGAACTACGAATGGAATTGTTGTACTATGAAAGGAATTGCAGTAATATGAAGAACGGAATTGCTGTCCTTAGATCCTACTAGGGACGTGTTACAAAGTGACATGGTCGAGTATCAATTAGCAGTATGACTGGGTCAGTTTGTAGCTCAACCTGGTGAGTTTGGTTTGTTTGTCGTGTCTGTATAGGCCCCAGGTTTCTTTTGCTATAGAGAACTTCATTGGCCTGGATTCATTCCACCATGCCTTCTTCTTGCTAAGGGATGAGATGGGTGTGCGTCTTGATTTTCTTCAGGGGCTACTGCTGCTCTCCATCATCTACTGAGACAGAGTGTGAGATCTACAGGGTCCAGGGATAGGCTCATCAACTTGGACTTGATCTGGTTGGCCTTCAGAGGAGCTGGAGCTCAGGGATCTTCTGGTAGTACTTGTGGCTACTTACGCATGGGCGGTCCTTCTGGCACTTCTCTTTGGCAACACGATGAAACATAGTAGGCAATTGTAGTACTACAAGATTTTTGAATGTCTTGATCTACACAGCTTGAATCGTTGAACAGGAATACGGAATGGCAAAAACTTGCTGGATTTTTATAGCCCTCAAGCCAGGATGGGATTGCACACGCAATAGAAGTACGTTCAAATGCACTAAGAATGAGATGAGGATGAGTTGAACTGTGTCTAAATGGGGTTGTCAAATTACTAATTAGTTAGAACTGTTGCTGTTAGAACCAGTTTGAGGACATATTGGGGCGAAGTAGAAATAGTTACAAACAGGTGTAAACTGTCTACGGAAACTTGTTTGAATTTGTTTGGTGTGATAAGGGCTTTAGTAAACAAATACACTATTTTATTATATGCTCACATGGAAATGTTAATGTATATTGCCATCGCCCCTGTTTCTCAGTCTATCTGTTGGTCTGTCTGTCGTCCACAATATCTTGTGAACGCTCTAATGCCAAAAGTTATCATCCGATTGTTTTAAAATTGATATATTATGTTGTTTACATTAGTGAGATGAAGAAGCCGATTTAATTTCAATAATTTCCGTTTATTACGTCTAGAGTTATGGCCCTTGCTCTAATGCCAAAGTTATCATCTGATCTTTTGTGAAATTTATATTCATCATTTAGATTAGTGAAACAAAGATGCCTATTGAATTTCAGCAATTTCCGTTTATTATGTATAGAGTTGTGACCCTTGTTTCACTTTGTGAATGCTCTAACGCCAAAAGTTATCACCCGATCTTTGTGAAGTTTATAAGCATTATTAAATTAGTGAAACGAAGAATCCTATTGAATTTCAACAATTTCTGTTAATTACTTCTAGAATTATGGCCCTTGTTTCACTTTGTTTCACCATGTGTACACTGACACTCTAAAATCAAAAGTTATCTGCCAGTCTGTAGGAAATTTATATGTGTCTTTTAGTTTAGTAAAAAGAAGAATCCTATTGAATTTCAGCAAATTCCGTTAATTACATCTAGAGTTATGACCCATGTTTCACTCTGTTGAACTTTGTGAACGCTCTAACGCCAAAAGTTATCATCCGATCTTTGTGAAATTTATATGCATTATTTAAGTTTGTGAAACGGAGGGCTAATGGATTTCAACAATTTCCGTCCATTATTTCTAGAGTTATGGGCCTTGTTTTACTTTGCGAACCTTGTGAACGTTCATCCAATCTGTATGAAATTTATATGCATTATTTAGATTAGTAAACAAAAAAGCCTGTCAAATTTCAAGATTTTCTGTAAATTACTTCCAGAGTTAAGGCCCTTGTTTCAGTTTGTAGAACCTTGTGAACCCTCAAACGACAAAAATCATAATCTGATCTGTATGAAACTGTCTTGTAAATGCCTCCAATTACCTACAAAAGAATAAATATGTGACAACCCTTGTCGATCGCTCGGACGATTTAGCTGCTGTGGGCATATGTTTCATTGTCTGGCAACCTAGTTTTATCTGTGTGTGTAAGTGTATTTTAAAGTGTGAATATATTCCAGCCATTTACAATATAAAAAAAATATATCTATATATATAGAATATAAAATTATCTAAATATAGGAGAATATAGAATTATCTAACTGTAAGAGAAGATATCTTAATATAAGAGAATATATCTTATATAAGACAATATATCGAAATATAAGAGAATATATAAGAAATATATCGAAGAATAAGTATATATTTATAAGAAATATATTAATATAAAAGAATGTACAAGAAATATATAAATATAAGAGAATATACAAGCAATATATCGAAATATATCGATAAACTAGATATAACGGTCATGTCGTTCTGACATCATACATTATATACGGTCAATACATGTATTTTTTTTAACTGACATTAATATTCATGGAATGTAATCAAGACAAGTATTATTTGGCATCTTGGAGGAGAAGCCAGTTAGTGACATTGGTGTCCATCATTTCCATTGATATTTTCTGCTTTATTTTGGACTATAAATAAAGCCTCTGTGATTCTCTTTATAAACATCTGTTGGATAATCAGAACAGTGCAGAAAAAAGTAATTAAGTGCTTCCCTAGCCATTTCCTACACCCACATTGGAGTGTGGTTGTAAATTGCTGTCAAGAGTTATTGCCCTTATCCCTTTGTAGAATCTTGTGAACACTATTGAGACAAAATTTATGACCTGAACTGATTGAAATATATATGCATTGTTAGTATTCGTGGACCAAGAAACCTGTTGAACTTTAACAATTTCTTTTGATTGCATCAAGAGTTATTGTCCTTGTTATTGTTCAAACTTTAATAATTTCCATTAATTACTCTTATACTAATGGTCCTTGTAAAGTCTTTAACATCAAAAGTCATCATCTGATCATGTTTGCATCTTCAGAAGGTGTATATAGTTACACTTTTGATGCAAGGTGTTAAATGAGGGAGTCTCTGTGAACATTTTCCCAAATATTTGAACCTTGAAAGATTCTGAAACTGACAAAAAACGGATTCTTATCGTTTTGAACCGACTTTACCATCAGACATCCAAATAGCCATAAAATAGGGATACAGGGAAGGAGTAGGTGATGGGGTACCATCTTTGCATTATTTCTTAAACTGATATTAAATAGTGAATATGGAAAAAAAACCACTACAGCATTTTTACCCAAGCACCATGATAGAAGCAGAGAGAGTAATTCTGGTGTTTCTACATTTTAAGTCAACATTTTTAGCTGTCTATGTTTTGAGGAAAATTTGACAGTATCAAAGAATAATAAGTTATGTATAGCAAAACGACAACTGTTACTACTTGGTAGATCTTAACTTCGTCAAATAACCATTTTATTTAGAATTCATTGATCACAACTTCGACTATGCCCATCACTGTCTGATCTGGTAACACAAGTGAAAAATAATGTATTTTATAGCTACAGCTAAAAGCATCTTTTTTTTTTTTTTATCAAAATGAGATGTGGCAAGGAATGCATTAGGTTATTTGATTTCTGTTGGATATGAAGCACGGTTTACTCCATGGAGAATTATAAATTGCATTAGTAGAAATGTTTCTATGTCAGGTTTGAACGTAAAGATCTCATATTGACTGCATTCGCATGTACACTAAAAGATTTATTTATTAAAGATACATTATTCAAGAGTTAAATCTGCCTATTGCAGGTCTTTCTTAGGCCTTAAAAAATGATGATTATGATAATAATAATAATCATTATCTAGAGTGCTGAACATTCAGTTAGTTTGACTGCTCTGTGGTGCTTCGCAAAGATGTTATATAAATTATTAATTAGACATTTATTACCATGACAAGACGATAATCAACTCTCTAGGCCATTGGACGGCTCCGATTTTAAGTAGATTAAAACAGTTTGGCCATTTAATGATTTGATTTAAAAATGGAGAAGCGAGGCAAAGTCTCAAATAACCAGTATTGTGTTTATTATAATTAACAATTAATTCACACATCTTGTCATAACAACAAACAGTGATAACTTTGCTCAGAATAAGTAATTTGAACGAAATTTTCAATAAATTTATTTTGCATTATCTATTTTTATCACTCTCAGCAGGAAAATAAATGTAATTAATTTTGAATAATATATTTAAAAGACATAATAATGTCTATAACATAATAATTTAGTTTATTATTATGGCTCTTAAAGGGATTTTCAATTATCATTTTGAGAAAATGAATTATGGAAGTTACCATATTCGATTTTAGGAAAAATTGTTACAGAAATGTGTTCATGTTGTGATTGATAATAATTTAGATATTGATGTTATTTTTAATTTCAGGAATATAATATATTAAATACAGCTGTATTGACGGGTAATCGCTTGTCATATCCATTAAAGATATATTCTGTTGATAAACAAGGAACATTACATGATGTTACATATATGACCGTCTGTCATTCTGCTGATATAGAAGTGATAAAGGTCAGTATTAGTAATAATTAAGAAAGTTGTTGGTAAGGTTATAAATGTATATTTATAAATATAAACTGTCAATGCCAAACTAGATACCACACATGCATGAAAATTTAAAATCAGATGTAGAGATCTAAACTAACAGTATTATTTATGACCAGGTAGTATTTAACACAGCCATTCACCCAATATTAAGGTAGTAGCTTAACTCGGCACCCAAGATGGATTATCTAAAGTAAATTAATAATAGTAGTAATGAGATAATCCATCTATAAACATTACATAATCAAGGGCCAGTTAGCCACTTTAGTAAATGAAGGAATGGATGTCAATTAAATACTACCCCTTTAACAACTATAAAATATTTAAGGGTATATATGATTATTATTTACTGTTTATCGTTACCAAGTAACCTCTAGTATATTAGAGGAAAGATGGTAGATTGTAGACAGTTGACCATAGGCAGACAGCAGGGCAGGTCCTTGATAAGTTATTTCTTAGACACTGTTCCATATTAAGTTACCTAGCCTGTTGGTCATTATTGTAAATGTATGATTGTTTAAGTATTGTTACAGAATATACGATTATTATACCAAGAAGAAGTGAGTTGTTGAATTATTGTATTGTATGTTCAATGTTACACCCCCACTTAGATTGAACATACAACCCATTGTCGGCGGTTGGACTATAATGCAGGTCCATAAACCCTGGATGATAGTAGTATAGCAAGACATATTACAGACAAGAATTTTAACATAAAACATTACTTAGAAATGCTTCAAAAAGACTTATTTTTTACTCTAATTTTCCTCTTAATCACTTTCTTGCAAAAAACACAAATAATGACAAAAAAATATTTAATGCTAAATTAAAACCTTTAAGTTTCAACCACAGCTATGTTTTTATTAGAAAAGTAGGTCTTTAAACCTTTTTTTATTTTATTTCTAAAACATATAAATTTTGTGCTGTTATAGATTGTGTATCATATTGAAGTATTGGTCATTTATTGAGGCTCATGATTTGAATTTCTGTAAGAAGAATTTGTCACTATAGTTCTTCTTTTGTATTACAGGTATCTCCTGATTGTTCCGAGGTTTATCTAAATGGTGATGAAACTCAGGGCTCACATAATGTTACTATTATTGCTAAAACGGGGTATTATACATCCTTCCTACATATACAAGTGTGGGTACCAGAAAACAGATTGGATATACAACTCTCTGATCATAAACTAAGTCAGATCCGAACCTGGAAAGTTCCGGATGAAAAGAAAAAGAGCAAGAAAAGGTAAGATTCTTATCCATTTCTGATGAACCGGAGGCAAAAAAAATAAATCGTGGGTTAGAGTGATCAAATATTTGGAATTGTCTCCCAGAACATGTGATACCCTTATACAGTATGGGATATTTGTATAGGTCTATCACCAATTTGATTACAGTTTTAAATTCACAATCTACAAGCTCTCTACTAGATGCAATAGCATTACCATATATGTATGGTAATGTAGAATTGATCTAGATGAGTTGACTTTAAGTCACAATTCCATCTTTCCTTCATATTAATAATCAGCTTACTGTTTACTTTCTTGAATTCTTCCACTGGATTTTCTTGCTTGTTATTCTTGATCGTTCGTCTTATTTATTACCACTTTTATTATATCTGTTAAGCCAGGATGTGAGTGTTTTTATGAAAGAGTATTGCATTCAGATGGTTAAGTTTGTTACGATCCTTCTCAAGTAGGATACATTTAGATGTGAAGTTTTATGGTTGTGAAATAAAACTGGTAGAACTATTTTCTCAGACAGAAAGAAATGAAGTGTTTCTATATAATGGTCTATGCAGGTGTTGTATAATACTACAGGATACAGATAATATTAGGTTTAAAACTATGATTTAACTCATACACTGTCTCATGATTGGCTGTAATATTTCTTATGATGTATATTAAACAGGTGGATTTATATTCTATGTTTATGCAGAAGTTAATCTGTAAAACAGAGGTTTCCAAATCATGAAATCTTCCATCAAAATATGGTCTTAGACATGAGAACTGTACAATGTGTGGCTACTTATTACTATACCACATGGGTTCCTTTAATTATCCCATGGACCAATTCCTTATAAATTTCACATAGAAATCACTTGGAAAATGCATTGATATGGATAAGGCTACATTATTTTTAAACATTCTATTTACCCAGCTTTCCTGGGGAAGAGGGATACTTGCAGCTTTAATCAAACTCCATTAAAAAAATATATTTACTTGCATGCATGTATCACAATGTTTGGTATACAAAGACGTAAAACAATATTTGAAAAACATTCTTTTATTGCTTCACCAGTCTGAGAAAATGAACTGCCTAAAGCATGTCTAAACCTTGACAAAAACTTTCCCTTAAAATATTTAAATATTCATAAAAATAAATGGTTGTCTGTCATATGATATTAGATATTTGTTTCCAGTGAGATTGCAATCTGCTATAATACAATATCAATGAGATGTTATATAATATTATGAATATCCGTTTTTAGAAAGTCAAATTATGCAGTAGATATCCACCTTTTCATTTGATTTGTTTTGATGTCTGTGGATTATCATTTTGAATTTTATTATGCAAATTATTGTAAGAGAATATATTATATTAGGGAAATTACAAGCTGTTAAACATGAGAGAGGGTCAGTAGAGAATGATATATCACAGTAAAGGTTGGGCATTACGCCAGTTATATTACCTATGGCTTGGGTCCAACTCCAATATATATCATATATACCTTTATATATCACATCAAAGACAGCATGCTCATATTTTCCCTTAACTGATTTGCTCTAAGGTGTAAACTGTACATGAAAAGAGAAAGTTTGTATATTTTTGTGTTGAGAGATTTTATTAGGTGTATGGTGTCATCTTTCTAGTTTTAAGATACAATTGCCTGGAGCAGACTGTGCACCTGAATGAAAGAAATTGTGCATTGTTCGATGAAAAACGAGAATCTGTTCAAACCAGGCTTTCATCTTAGCCAACATCTTCATATTACTGTAATAACAGGGTGTGGGGATTTACCGTTAGTTACACAATACCCAGTAGTTTTATTTTACACTATATTACAGAAATTAAGAGCATATTATTCTATGCTGTAAAATAGATAGTTTTGCTTAAAGTTATTTGTTAAATTCGATAAGATGATGAAAAAAATGTTATGTATAGTTAAGTTTTATAAGAAAATTAATTTTGTCTACTTTAACTAGGAGTAAAATATAAAAAAAGCATTGTATTTGTAGTGACTTGTCCAAATTCCTTCACATTGAAAATAATAACTTTTTAAAACAGATATTAAGTTCACATCCCTACGAATGACAGAAGACTATGGTCTTAGAGACAGTCTATCAACAATGATTATTCATATTAATATTATCACCCTCTAATATTATCAGGAAATTCATTAATTAATGTCAACTTTAATAGGATTTTACGGTGGTACATTTTTCAAATGTTAATCAAGGCTATTATTTTTGTGAAACTGACCAAAATTTCCAATAGAAACTAAATAAAAGGTCATCTTCATATTGTGTAATGACTAATGAGAAACTCCTTTGATAGAAATAAGGCTGATAAATATAATACTGTTATGTTTTGATGGGCCAGTATCGTGATTATTCAACATTGTTCGTTAACTCTGTCTAGAGGTAACAGTGAAATAACTTGCAATATTCTACTTCTCAATGAAAAACAACAAAAATTGAAAGTGCAGCATGTCTGAATTGTAGATAGATTTAACCACACACAAGGTGATTGCCAATCTGATTAAAAGACAAATCCTATTTCGTTTCGTGTTTTATAGTTTAAAACTTTGTTTTATTTGTCTGTACTACACTAGGATCTGGAAGAGTTGTTATATAACCTGCGTTCTGGATGGCGTGAGGGATTTGCCAATGAAACCATCTGTTACGGTAACTTCTTGGCGTGCGATGCACAGAACTGTGGGTAAACCACTGATTGATTAATCAATGTCTGATGTCATAGGGTCAAAAGTCGTTCATACGACCTCTGATGCAATCTTTTACTTGTCAGATATTCATGTAGTGTAGGCCTTCGAAAGTATAAAAAAAAACGAAATGAAATATAGATCTGTATTTTAATCAGATTGGGTGATTCTTGTCTAGAAGTGAACAGTGATAATTATGTCTTGAAAATAACACAGAGCTTCAGATGGTTACTGGGAGGGCTAGACTAAAAATGATTTAAGAGCATTCCACACAGAATTGATCAGTTTTATTTACAGAAATATATTTGAGATTTAACACAACCATAATATAGGACAATGTATCACTTTTATGAAATTACACTTAGCCTTCAGTTCTCAAACAATGATATATAAATTTAGTCAATGACATACTGAACTAAATAAAAAGTAAACATTTTGGTTTTTGTTTTTTTTTCATTTCAGTAAAAGAAGTTCTAAGCTAAGTCAAGGTGTTGATTCTAATTTCTTGCTTGATATCAAGTCATCTGAGAAAACCAACCAGCATGGCTGTAGATTACGTGTACAACAATCAAAAGTAGAAGTTTATGCAAGATTTATCATCCAGTCAGCTAGCAGGACAGATTTCTTTCACAATCGTAAAGCTTATTTACGAGTAACAGATCTAGTTAGAGATCGTCTTCGAATTGCTGACTCCAGAGTTGCTACTTTAAATGGAACTGTTATTCAAGGTCTCCGTCAAGGAAGAACAGAAGTACAGGTCAGTTGTTGGTAATTTTATTATATTATGGATATTTAGATATTAAATGCAGATAAAGATAGAAAATGAATTCATATTACTAGTTATGGTGTTACAAAGAGAATAGAAAGAAATATTTTTTATGTGTTGAATATTAATCAATGCTAGGATCGGCTTGGAAATGAGAGATTTACAGACCAATGAATATGTAACCAATCCATTATAGTGACAGTGAAATAATAAAATACACTTTTGATCCACATTAATATCAAATAGGAAGTTTTATGGTTGATTCTGTCATTTATTTATAACAGAATTATTCAACTTCGTACAATTCCTGTACTTAACACTCAACCATTTTCATATTAGATATAATGCATGTACAAGTAATCAACAAGTATTTGACACGCTACAGAATGACATTCTTTTCACATTATTAGATGCATGTTACACAAAAAAGTTAAAGGGATCTTACTAGACAGATGAAAGTTAAAGAAGTGGTGTTATTAAGTTCATTAGATTACGTGGCACACCTAGTTGATGTGATTATAGTGCCAATAACAACCTCCTTCTGGCTTTATAGAAAGCTTTCTGGCAGTCATTTATAAACCTTGGTGTATGTCAGTTACCATGGTTACCTTAGTAAATACATAAAACATATCACAAAAGTTGCCAGAGTTACTCTAATAAATAAAAAAGATAGGTTGTCAGGCAGCGAAACATACGCCCACAGCAGCAAAGTCATCCGGCCAGTCAACAAGAGTTGTCGTATATTTTTATTTGCCCACATTTTCATATGGACGTATATTGGCGTCGCTTCTGCCCATCTGTCCACAATTGTTTGTGGACACCCTACAAGTCACAATTTCCATCCGATTTTGATGAAACTTGAAATGTATGTTTATAACCCACAAATCTTGGTTCCTTTCGATATTCGCGCATGTTGGATTGTAACTTCCTGGATTATGGTCTCTGATTGTACAAGTTCACAATTTTTATAAGATTTAAAAAAAATGTTCGAATATATCACTGTTACACCATAATGCTGGTTGAGTGAGAATTTTATGAAATTCGGACCAAATTGGCTGCTCCTTGTATGCAAATAGTGTAAAAATATGGTATATCAAGGTTGTGGACACTCAAGAGGTGACAATTTTCATCCAATATGGATGGAACTTTAAATTTGTGTTTATATCACAAAGATCTCAGTACTTCTTGATAATCTCACTTATTGGAACTTACGTTAAATATACAAAACATTTAATATCATGAATTTAGCTGTTCCAAGTTATCGGAAATCATTGAAAATCAAGACCTTAAACTCTATGTATAAATTTAAAGTCAATCGAATGATCATTTTGACCTGTACATGTAGAGCGTGGTACAAGATTTTTCGGAGTCTCTAGCATCGACGGGGGCGATGACAATATACAACCACATTTCAATGTGGGCGTATAAAAATAATACGTTCTCTATATCCGTCCACGTTATAAATGCTTCCAGTATTCACTGTTATGGTATGTGAGATTTAAAATGGAAACACTTACCTGAACCAAGTATTAAAGTAAAACCTTGTGGACCATTTCTAAAGAAAACGGTAAATTCAATATTAATATATTTTACTTCAAGAAAGATAATATTGAAATTAATAACTTTCTGTGATGAGAAATCAGTTTGTTCCAAAATGTTGAATTAAGTCCTCAGCTCTGTTTCTAAGAAGTTTGGGTACGAGAGGAAAACATCCAAATGTTATCATAGGTCGTGGTCTTAGATTGATATTACTGATCTCAGATTGATATTAAATATTATCCTGCAGATATTTTGCTTTCTTACTATTAACCATTTTGCAGTTTATATTGAATCTGTGTTATTGAAAAGAGTGTTATGTTACACTCCCAAGAAGAGAAGTTCAGTAATTGCAATTTGTTTATATTTTAATCATTATCTAATATTACAGTAGGTTCAAAAATGCACAAAATAAAAACCATTTTAGGTTATATTTAATAAATGAAGATGCCAGGCAAAATATTTTTTTAACACACGTAACATTATCTTTTTCAACCAAAAAACTAGTTAGCAGAAATTATTTATTCAAATGATCAACATTAAAGAAATTTATTCATGCAGCAGACATCACCAACAAAGTGAAGAGTAGCACAAACTCAAGTTGCGGGGATGGTGTGTAACTTTATAAGCAGATAACTATTGAATGATTATTGAACAGCGAATGGCACTCCAAATTAACTTTTTCCCTGCCATACGTATTTTGAGACGCATGGGTCATAGGGTTTGGTAGCTTGTGAATCAGCTACAAGAAACCAGGTGAAAATTTTGTAAGTGCAGGACCAAAAGTCTCCATGGCCAGTCTGTGATCTTCTACGGTGCCGAACATATGCAAGCGAGGCTTAGTCTCAAGCACAGGTTTACTTAAGTTCCCCACGTAGATTGCCCATAGTAGCACATTCGGCTGGTTGTGAGCTAGGCTTAAGAAAACAATCATTTAAATTTTCAGTAGCTCACAAAATAATGTATATATTTTTTTCAGGTTTTAGCCCCATCTGGTCATATTAAAGGAGTTCGAGAGTTACGCGTTGGTAAAGATAAAGTTATTATAGAAAGATTATTGGTTCGAGTTATTAGTGGTGTATCATTAGAGATAATGAAGGATAGAAATCAGATGGAATCTTTAAGTGCTGTGGCTCATTTACAAGATAAATTAGTGACTAAACATCAGGTAATTTTTCAATTTTTGGGAGATACATGTAACCAGTAATTTTTGTGCAAAACCCTTCTAAAATTGAGACAACATTATAGCAGTCTGGTTTGCTTTAATTGGATAGAGGTAACTTGTATATAGAATAATGCAATGTAGAATAACTATGTTAAAGTCCTGAGAAAATTATAAATTTGATTCTATATTTTGTATAATTTCAGGAGGGAATTCTGGATATCACTCTACAGTTCTCTGATGGTACCAGTTTCCCAATAAAATATATTCCTGAAAATGAATATGATTTGAGTATAACTTCTTTAAATAGTCAGGTTGTCGAGATTCCAGGTGATTCACCCAATCACAAATACAGTATCATAGCAAATAACGAAGGTCGCGGAGAGTTAGTAAGGGTCATTCTCAAGATGAAGGACCCTTGCATGAAGAAACGCTCAAGATCTTTGGGAACCAGCTATGTTTATGTTAATGTAGATTTCTCCAAGGAAACCAATTATCTTGAACTTCAGAGTGACAGTAACTACGATAATCGTGCTAGTGATCGTTGGGATAAGAATGATTTACCTAATAAAAATACCTATAAAGATCATTACAGCAGTAAAGATGAATATTTTAAATACCAACACAAAACCAAGAATGAGAAATTTCCGAGAATTATGGGAAATGAACCACAAGTTATTCCAGTTCATATTGCTCTAGATAAACTACCTGAAAGTCAACCAAAATCTTCTCAACCTAAAACCGAAGCTCAACAACAACCAATTAAAGACAAGGATGGATTATCTCCCCTGGAAATCGGCATGTATGTCCTGTTAGCCGTATTTTGTGTGGCTATTTTAGTGTTTACTGTAAACTGTGCGGTATTTATGATGCGCTATAGAAGAAAAAGAATGCCATCTAAATTTGGTAAAGTGAAGAAAGGGGAATCTGTTCGCCAAGCAAATGATTGGGTTTGGATTGGAAGACAAACTCTTGAAAGAAATGCTGTCAATACAAAGTGCTCACACACGCTTATGCCTGAAGAAGATTTTAATGGTAATCGCATGATTCGACCTACGAGTTCAGGAATTGGTAGTTCTGTAAGCAGTAATAGTACTGGTGGTAGTAATCGTAACAGCACAGTGTCCACATACAAGGGTTCAGAATGTAGTATTCGTATTACAGCTAATCCTTTACCAGATACTGGCCCCGAACACTCAATGCAAGATGATCCAGAATGGGACTACGAAGCTATGGGCATGACATACGATCAATTAATGGATTATTTTGATAATTTAAAAGAGTCGACAGCATAAAGCCTCCGATTATTATATTTTAACTAGTTGTGCATTTATTATATATAACACGATTGTTGGATAACTGTGAAAATGTTTAGGGCAAACGAAGATGAAATGAGTTGTACAGAAACTACAGAGGTACAAAACTCTCCACATCGACATAATAAACTATATAAACCATGTCTGTTCACTCTGTTGCTAGATGTTATTGAAATTGTGACAATCATTGTTGGGAATACAGAGTGAAGGGGGATAACTCTGTGCTCATGGGAAGTAACTCTTAACATGAGTGTATAGTGCTGAAGACACTTTTTATTGTTCTGTGATTGTTATAGTATTGGGTAGAAATGTGGAACTTTATTTCAATAACTTTTTTTCTTCAAGTAGAAACATTTTGTAAATATAAAAAGAATGATCAAAGAAAATTTGGGCGCCTAATATTAAACGGTTAAAGAATATATTATTATTATTATTACACTTGTGTGTAAAGGCGTACACAGTTTAAGCATAAAAATTTGAAACCACTTTCACTGTTTTTGATTGGTTAAAGATTAGAGAAAAATCTCAGGTGAGTCAGGGTTTTTGATTGGTTGTCCAATCACTACCGGGTTTGTAACTGTTTAACCTATATATGGTAGTGTGTAATTGTTGTAAATATATATTATTCTCTTTATTCCTTGAGCAAAGAATATAGCACTTGAGCATTTATGTCAAAGTTTTGCAATCAAATAATGTTAAAATGATATTATCACATTTCAACTTTCAAAGAAATTGATATCTCTTTGGACAGTTTGCACAATGTGGTTCAAAGATGCAATTATATTATGTGTAATGTAAAGCTGTCCTTATTACATGTACCTTGATGATATTTTTTCTACACTAGTGTAAAGTATTTGATCACAATTGATTGCACACTTTTCTGAACACGATTAATTCTAATTATGGTCAGTATATTTTAAATAAATCTACAAAAAGGGATATAAGATTAGGTGGAAACAACTCCAGTCTACTACTATTCAAATTTAATAATAAACGATATGTAATCATATTATATACTAGAAATATATGCAGATTGCTTTTTTTAAACCAGTCATATTTACAATAGTCTAGTTGATTAATGTTCATGATTAAGCTTTATTAGTATTGCTGTGTTTGTTATTGTTACCTTGTTATTATTACCTTGTAAATCTATACTAGACTAAATTATATCAAATGTCCATTTTTACTTCAAGATCTGATCTTTTCTATTTTACATTTTTCTGTTAATTTTGTATTAAATTTAAATAAAAGATGGTTGTCTTTATTCTATCCCTCCTACTAACCAAATGATCAAATTATTTTCTTTTTCTGTCTTCTTTCTTTTTATGTTCTTTTTTTTTCCATCATTCTCTTACAATGCTGGCTTTTAAAATTGCAAGATTTAATTTGATAATGCAATTACTCTTGTTATGAATTTGTTAGTTTTTATTATTAATATTATTATTATTATGTAATTATTTTTTATTATATTATCATGTAATTATTATAAGAAATCAAAGTTATACAAACCTTACAGTAGCTTATTAGACAGAGATTTTCATAGATTATTTTACCTTTTATTACCAGTTTATGAATAGTATTTATTGTCCCAAACTTTGTGTATCGTGCCATTTTTAATATTATTTACGTCAGTTTATTACTTAATATTTGCAAATTACAGATTATGTGTTCAAAGTCTATATTGCACAACGTTGATTTTCTTACATTAATATTAATTCACAAATTTGAAAAAAAAATCCTTTAATTTAAACATGACAGCTGGATGAAGTATTTATAACATGCTAATTAGTGAGATCTATGCATAATATTTCTTTAGTTAACAAATAAGATCTCTCCTGGTTAAGCCTGTTTCACTATAGTTTACTGGGTTCTCTCCCCTTATGGGAATGTTAACACCAATGTCATTTAATTAGAAGACAGCCTAAATATAATTAAACTATAACAGGATAAACCAAAGAAAATTTTGATTGTATATGGTGTTATTTCATTTTGTAATTTCTCCCTAAGAACATCAACTAATTTTGATTTCTATGGACAATTCATTAAGGATAACTGTAGACCTACCAATATTTGTCATTTTAATCTTGTAGACAAATGTGAATTGCTTCTTAATATTTGTAATAAAACAATGATAATGGTGTTGTGTAGAATATATAATATACCTAAGTGTTTACTGAACAGCTGTAGAAATATAAAATGCTAGATAGATTTAGAAATTATGTTGTATATTGCTATATAATATATGGTATGAATGTATATTAGGAAATACCTATAACTAGTACATTTTATTGTTGTTTTTCCTATTTGCAGCATCTTGTACTTGTTAATTCCTATACTTGTTCAGTCAAAAACCAGAGTTTAAAACCAGATAAAGGGTCATAGACTTAACAAAGAATTTGCACTTCTGCTTAGAAAATGTACTGTAGTCTTTTGTCAGTCTTGTATGGAATGGTTAAAATTCTTCCAAAGGCTGATAATGTGTCAAGACCTATTAAACGGTCTATTCTAACTTGCTACTATATAATTTGGGGAAAAGACAATCTTCAAATTTTGGATTATTTATCAAGATTAAGTGTAAATGGAAAGACAGTACATATAAAATTAATAACATACATGTCTTATTTTGTGTATTATATTAATAATATATAATATAACCATACTGTACATGTACTTGTTAATTAATTAATTAATTGATTCAAGTCAGATGTCATGTGTTCACTGTCTGTGTTCTTAATAGGATATATATTACAGTCATACTGTTTTTCAAGGCATTGGTACCTGCTATACTGTCTTAGTGTGAATTGACTTAAAATTTTATAAACAAAATTAAAATATTTCATAAATTATATACAATTTATAACAGAGTCATATTCCCTTGGTTCTATATTACAAACCGTTTTTGGTCAGTCAACATTGCTGTTTAACAATTTATCAAGGAATTAATTATAGAACAGGCTTGAAGATTGCGGATTCATGGGAGATGGTTTGATATGTTATCTCCTCTTTAATCTCCAGCAAAGACAGTATGACTGTACTGTTATCTAAACCTTATGTTCTGTTCATGTGATGTTATATCATGTCAGACTGCCTGTCATGCATTGCCTAATAAGGTAAATGATGTGCTTGTCTGTGGCAGAATTATCTGTTAATAAAACATTTCATTTAATAAATATAAAATTGTTGACTTTCAATTCCATCATCCTATTGCTCTGAAATAGTTTAATAGTTTTAAAATGGCAAGAATAATTTGTTCTAGCATTACCACAGTAAAGGATATCCATCTCAAATTAATAGAAAATGCAAAAGGCCAATTTATAATACAAAATGTTAGTCCACCCTTTTTCCTAAGAAAGGGGTGGTCTGAAGACATTTTATTTGGAAGACAACTAGTGGCTCAGTAGCTTGCTTACTAACCAGGAAACCTGGGATTGACTGAGAACACTCCCCAGGATTTTCCAATGTAGTATCCCCTCATCATTAGTGTAGAATGTAGATTCTGGCCAGGAATAGCATCTAATCATCCGGGTGGGACAAAAAAGCATGGTGCCAGTATACACGTTGCATGCTCATAATCAGGTGCAGAAAAATAGATCATTAAATCCTATTTCATTATGTAGGCCTAGGCCTAGTGACCACAAAGCATGTTTTAGGTCTACTAGGAATCAATAGTCATTCATGGATAACCACCACTTTATTGGGAAATCATAGGCTATTAAAACATTTTTTTGTCTTGAAATAACCTGCCAATTTATTTTTATTATTTAAATAGCTACTACTGATGAATCATGAATTGTCATTTTCCAGCAAAGATAGAATGCAATAAAAGTTATCTCAACTACAGCATACAGTTAAATGTTATTCTGCATCAATAGAGATTTTTGACAAGTGGAATTTTTCCTATTCGTATCACGTATCCGTATCGTCACGTGATACTTTGCGTCAATGTAGTTTTAGACTTTTGGCAGATTTTCGCGCCGCGTACGTACATGTAGGCTATGGGTAGCTTAAGCTGAACTTAGTTCTATTACAGATGATGGCAGTTATCTACCAAGATCAACATCAGTAGCCTACTAGTCAAGTGCCTAGCCTACAAATTCCCGAAGGGAGTAAAGTCGCTCGACAATCGCTGAGCTATTTAAAAAAAATAATAATAATAAAAAAAAATAGCGTCGAATCTTATTAAAAATCTTCGGCTTGGACTTGACAGCCTTTTTTGGTTTCACTAATGTATCATTTCAGAATATATACCTCTTAGATTTGCAAGGTCCCACCTCCCTAAATTTAGCACGTAGATCAGCCAGCATGCAGACAGACAGGAAAAATATGAAAATTCCGTGAAAAGCTCAAAAAAATGATTAAATTCCAGTCTTTATCATGGTTAATATCCCATGAAATATACACCTTCGTGTTTTAGGATACACATAGATTCATAAAAACGCTACGGCACAACATTTCAGCGTCTAAAAGTAGCAAACAATACCGGTACGGTAAAAAGACAACGATGTTATACGGACCTTTTCCGTATGAAAGCTGTTCGATACATGCTGTCGTATCCGTGTGCCGTATCACGTATGAGAAATACACACGCATTGATGACGTCACGCGCAAAATCGATACGGATACGCGACACGGACCAGGAATTTACGCTTGCCAAAAGTCTCTAATGATTCAATGACAAAACCTTAACTACTCAAGAACGTTGATATAACGCTGAAATAGAGAAGCTTTGATCCCAACATAGACTACGAGAAAAATTTCACCACATGGATACCGATATTGTTCTGGAAGATTACGATAGCCAAAGTCAGCAGGCCTAACTATTATAATATTTGGCCTACTATTACTATTTAAGCGTAAAATTAATACCAAAGGGCGACGACGGTTCCGACCAACAAGATATTTTTTATGTAACACGCGTGTTTCTGTGTGTGTGTTTAGTTAAACTCCGAGAGACAAAAATCGTCCACAATTGCTATGAAGGCATGCCTACAGTTTTGGACATCCCTGGAGACTTCCGGATGTTTTCTTAGCAATTTGTTATTCCCAGCGAAGGAATTCGCGTTGTCGAGTCCGGCGTCATAGAAGAATAACGTCACGCTCACTATGACGTCACAGTTGACGCTATGGTTCCTGGTTGTCACAGAGATTTCGCCACCATTTTAATTCCTTTCTCACGCTACATGAGGTAGGTATCGATACTAACAAATAATTTCCAGCCTTTACTGGGCTTTAAGCTAGTAAAGGTGACATATCTAAATGTTGTTTTTAGTGGCGTGTCTAAAGTCTTATTGTGCGTAGGCCTGCCTATATCGGGCTAGATATCTAGACATCTTCATCTTGACATGATGACATTTTCTTCCTTGCTTAGTTGCTAGCCCAAACCAAGATCTAGGCTAGCTTATTCTTTGATTCTTTGTTGAGTTTGAAATTAGGCCTAGGGGACCTACTGTTTTTATCACTTTGATATTTACTTTAACTTTAAGTGCTATGTTCCAATAAACGCTAAACAGTGTAGGTTAACTTGTGACCATTAATTAATCATTCAATCATTGTTGTTACTATTACTACTCGACTACGTCTAGATCTAGCCTCTTCTAGCCCTATCATATAGCTGTACTCTAGCAGCAGCACCAACAAAAAAAAAAGTGATTATGGGCGGCCCTGGATGACTTACCTGGAGATCCCGGTTTCAATCCCGGTGTTGGCCGAGAAGATTCTCTAATCTCGTGATTTTCCAGCCTGGTTTCCCCCATCGCATCAGATTCAGAACTCGGTGGTACGTACTTAGTTGTAATGATAATGTTCATAATAGGCCCAAACGGCGTCAAGTTGTTCAGGTGATACGAAAAATGCCTGCGTCCACTTAAAACTAAAAAATAAGTGTAGCACCGATCTCATAGTTCTTATAATCTTTGACTAGTTAGAAATGCAGTACCGGTACGGATAAAAAAGTCTAGGTTATTTCATTCATTCAGGCTACAGTACTACTACTATTAACTAAGTAAGCGTATATCATGTTGTTAGGCTTAATTTTTGCCTTGACTGTCTAATAAAATATGTCAAATTACATATCTTATCATTGCCATTTCAGAATAAATGTAGCCATCATGAAAATAGCTTTTCTGGTGTGTTTCATTATTGGAACAACAACGTCTATTCCTGTTGAACGAGAAAGGGTAAGTAGCCAGTACTAAGGTGGAATTTCTTAAGGTTTTGAAAATCTATCCATCCCTATATATAGTTCTAATAATGAATAGCGGTACAAGAAAATAAAAAGAGGGACGACTACCACTTTAGAAACTCGCAGATGAGTGATTCGAATATATCAGCTGTCCATAATGTTCTGACGAGTTCGGACATTATAAGCTTTTCACTGAAAGCAACTACACTGTGTTTGAAAAAGAAATAAAATCGAAAAAATAGACTACACTGTGTAGTTTCATACCCTTTTTTTTGTGTATTCTGACGGAGGACAGAGGTTGCAAAAATATTGTCCCAGGCTATAAATTATATACTCTTCAAAAAAAGTATGGGATATTGAAATGCAAATACCTATATTATATGCAGGTTGTGATATGATAAATAGTCATGGACACTTGAGGTGCTTTGAGAGTATGCTCACAGATGAAGAACTTACCGCCCCAAGAGAACCACTGAGCTGCACATACGACACGCAATAGCGCCATACACTAGGGGTTCATTGTCAAATTTGACACTTCAAGGAATCACATATTCCTGAAGCAATGGCCCGAGAAACAGAACACTGCGAGGAGTATGAGGAATCAAGGAAGGGTTGATGACAACTGTCGCGTGCTGGTTTATCTATCCATGTTTTTTTTGGGGGAGGGGGGGTGTAAGCAATATTTTATTTCATTTCAAAATGGATTGGAGAACAAACAGGCTGGACCTATGTTGACTCCTCTCCAGAATTTACAAAAATAAGTTTACTTTATGTACATACACGAACATATAAATATAAAATTATTTGAGATTTAAATATAAACTAAACATTTATACATATATACAGTTGTCCGTTCCGTGACTTTATATTATTAGGGTACCAATGTCCCTCCATAAAAAACCTACCTAAACATGAGGTATTGTTTTGTATATTATGTATAGAGTAAATAAATCAATAACTTTAGAAACATTTTGACAATTTTAAAAAGTTATGAACAGTGTTAAAAATGAACTGATTTCGATCAAATGAGAGGACAATCTGACCATTTAATAAAATACCAATATCTTGAAATTGCTGCTTGAGTACCGTAACCCAATAGGTTGTCCTCGGGCACCCGAATGTAGGGGTATACTAATAGATAATGGTAACAATCTTCAAAAAGGTGACCACACGCGCAGGCGGGCTATCCGTTAAATGTCTCAAAAACTTATGACCATTTAATTTGCTGCAGCCTAATCTCAGTTTACTATGTATTATTTGATTTTTTTCTATCTCGAATATAAAAGTACTGTGGAATAATAAGATCGTTTTTAATCAAGCTTGAAGCAAATGAATTTTGTACTTCGGGTTCCAATGTGTTCTCTGATCGTCGACGGAATAAATGAATTTGAAAAAATGTTTGTTCTACATAAGTACTCTTCGAGATTATTACAATTTCTTAGACGATATGGTGATTTTTTCTTTAAAATAAGGTTAGAAATATAAGAAGGAGCTAGACCATTGATTAACTTATAGAATAATTTTATTTTGTGTCTTCGTCGACGTTCAGCTAATGGAACAAATCCTGTTTCTTTATAGAGTTTTGCATGGCTTGTACGGTGCCTTGTACCTCTAACCGCTCCAAAAATAGTCCTTAGTGCATCTAACTGTAAAGTTTCTAATTCAGTTGTGAAGCTAATTTGTCTGAGCAGCCAGCCCAAATTACTTCAGCATAATCAAAATGTGGTAGAATAAAAGAAGTATACATGTAGATGGTGTTTAATGATTTTCTATTACGTCGATACTTTAATGATCTAAAACAATTGATAACTTTCCCTACTTTATTACAGATATGATTTATATGGACATCCCATTTGCAATTTGGTTGAAAGTTTTGCCCAAGATGTTTATGCTCCGATACTTCTTTTATTGGCACAGTGTCCAAATACATGTGTGGTTTAGTTAAATTTATTTTAGTTGAAAAAGTTATTGTTTCAGTTTTTAGGGGGTTGAAAGTTACAAGCCATGTCTTTGACCAGTTGTTAATAGTAATCAAATCATTATTCAGGATAGCCGCGTCTGCCCGAGGATCCGTTATTTGTAAATAAAGGGAAGTGTCATCTGCAAATAATCTAATATTCGAGTTAATATCATTTACAATATCATTAATATATAACAAAAATAAAAGAGGACCATGAACCGAGCCCTGTGGGACACCGGCAGGGACAATCATGGGGTCAGAGGAGGTATCACTAACAACTACTACTTGCTTACTGTTTTTTAAATAATCAATAAACCAATCAAGCAGACCCCTCCTACACCAGACGCCCCAGCTTATGACAGAGTCCAGAGTGCCAGACTCTGTCAAAAGCCTTGCTGATGTTACAGAACACTGCTCTTGTATACTTTCCGTGATCTATGGCTTGACAAAAAGAGTGAGTTAAGTCAATTAATTGATAGAATCCATGTTTGCTTTCCTATCGGTTCTTGCATAACTGTGTATGATTTACTGTTTAGCGTTGCTTTGCTTTAGTGTGTTACGTTTAATTTGATCGGGAGACTGTTCGTCGACGTCAACGTCAACCGACAACACTGCAAGAATTGGCAGTGGCACTGCAAGAGGAGTGGGTCAGATTGCCCCAAATCGTGATTGGACGGTTGATTGGGAGCATGCCACAACGAATTGCTGAATGTCTGAGGATTGGTGGAGCAATTACTCATTATTAAGACAAAAATCAAAAAAGTCCATTTTCACTTTTGACGGTGTATCTCTTTGCAACTGAAATGCGGCCGTCAGATAAGATAAGCCGCCCATATGAACTGTTTATGTTCATGTGTAGGCAATTGGCCTGTTATTAACATACACTGGTTACCTCTAATAAAAACAGCAGTGCATTTCCGCAGTTTTGTATTGTTTCTGAATATCCCCTACTTTTTTTGAAGAGTATATAATATGTGATCTGAGTGATAAGACTGAGCTAAGAATCTATAAGTAAGCTGCAGTTTATTAAATTCATTTTTCGAAATACGTTTAGACTTATCGTGCCTTCGAAATTGGGATCAAAATTTAGTAAACCTAGACTATAGCAGAAGCCTATCCCTCTCCTTTCATTTACTTAGTTACTATTTTATTTTTCAAAAAATTGATCGTTGACTTTGGCATTTTCTAGAGGCGTGCATTTGAACAGATTTGTCTGACGTCAGCTGATTGTGAAGCATTAAATCAACAATGTGTACGACGCAATGGAGAGGGATATGGTCAATGTATGTCTCAGGTATATACGAGCTTATTATATTAATTTGTAAAAGGAGGTGATCTATTTGTCTTACATTCAAGTCCTAACAATAGATAGATAGAGATGGGAGCTACAAGAAGTGGAATCAATTTTTAAATTTCCTTACAGACACCTCAGTTCAAATGCAAAGCAAAATTTAATGTTGCATATTATGTAATAGAACATGTGTAATTGCCAATTTGAAAAGGTAGAAACACGACTAGATGATTTCAACATATCAAAATTTACTGAAACCCTATGAATATTTTCATTGGCAGAGGGTTAAAATCCTATATAGATTTTACTGCATTCTTAGAAATATTGTAGTTTTTAATAAGGCCCCTGGTAGAGCTACGGTTACTAATATGCATTATTTGATTAGGGGCACCTGGAATTTTCTAAAATTTGAAAGAGTAGCTGACAACCTTTTACTAGAATATAGAAACAGATGCCCTTTAAAGACATTTTGATTCTACCAACCTGAAACTTTTACCCGCTGCCGGTTCGCTTTTGCACCTCAGATTTTATTAACAATTATATTTAATTACAGGCATCTTCTAATTATGTTTTGAATGCTGACGATCATAGTAATGACAATACCTATATATCTATACCTAAATCAATGAATACAGACAATTTACGAAATATAGAAGCAATTGAATCTGAGAGAAGAAAAAGATCTGCAGATGTTTCTCCTGATAAAGATGTTTATGGTGAGTTAATCTGTAATCAATCTGAGCACGAATAAAATTCTACAAACAGCAACACCAATATTCTTAAAATCAGATGTTTTTCCTTTTATTTCATTTTTTGATACTCCGTATATAATAGTTTACCGTACCGGTACTCGTTTTATTGCCGCAATATAGTCCTGTTGGTGTAAGTTCGATGAAGAATTTCTGAAATAGTGGGAATGCAAGCAAATTTGTCGGATCTTTTTTAATATTTTTTCCGGCTGCATTAATACAGATAGATTCACAAATATTGACACTTAAAGGAGCTAAATCGCTAACATTTGGGACCTAGAGATTGACAAAAGTGGGTCGCAACGCATATAATACTGTTATATGAATGTATATAAACTGATTTACATTCAATGGTTTCCGTTTTTACTCCAATTTCAAATCAGTTATGTTCGGCGAAATAAGCCAGCAGTCTCAAGCGAGTGCAAATTTCTAGCGTCTGGTTATTCCAGTCTACATACGCCGTTTGATTTGGTGCAATGTGTCTAGCCTCGTCCCTCGAGTCTCTTGGTACAACTGGGGCTGAAGCGCATTATGGTACACGATTCGTGTACCAATGGTGAAATGTTTATTTTGTCTTAAATACTGGATATCAAAAGCCCATCTTTTTCCGGTAAGATCACAACATGAATGTTGATTTAATTTGACAAATAAATCGTGTTTTCAATGTTGAAGATTTTGGATGATATTGAGTTAGAGACTTATAGCTACTTTAGATCAAAAAAGGAAACAAATGTATCGTTTTTGTTGGTGTTATCTATTTAACCTTTCTTTCTTCTTTTTATCTTACAGGTCCGTCTGGTTTAGAGACAGATGTTGATGACCCAGAGCATGTTCGTCACTCGGTACATGATCTACAGCAAGCTGACGTCCCTTGTTCTGGACCCGATTGCAATGTCATTACAGAAAAAAATGACGATGACGTTATTGTTGAAAAGCGAAATCTGTCGCAAGATAAACCTGGCGCCAGGTTTCCCAGGGAAGCTTCGTCTGTTTTACAAAATCTTAAATCATACGATCCTAAACCGGAGCTAGATTATAATGAACAAATTATCGTACCCGCTAATGCTATGGGTGTCTTGAATAAGGACGGGTTTACTGGAGTAAATCTAAAAAAACGCGATGTGGACGATGACGATGACTATGACTATGATAATGACGATGACAATAATAACCAAGAGACAGAAGTTGACGAGGAAGATGACGAGGAAGATGACGACGAGGGTGACGTGGGTGATTATAACGACGGACCAGATGATGAAGTATCGGAAGATAACGGTATGATTGGAAACTACTTGAAGAATCTACTCCGTGGTAAACGTGATGTGGATGATAATCCCGAGAAAAACGTTGATAATGGTGATTTTAAACGAAGTAAGAGACAAGATTACGATGATAATGATGGCGGTAGGGATTATGAAGACTATGATGAATATCGCAATAAAAAATCTTTTGAGAACACAGACCAAACTGAAATTGAACTCAATTCTATATTGGACAGTTTGAACAGGAAGAAAAGAGATCTTACTGCTGACACAGTCGATGAGCACCCCAGAGCGAAGAGAGATGCCGGTGATACCATTGGACAAAGTTCCACACTTATCAGACATAAGAAAAACACTGTAGATGATATCACAGATATGTTAAACGATCTAAATGACGAAACTGATGATGACAACGATGACGCTATGGATGATGATGAAGAAGCAGAGGATGATGGTGAAGAGGGGGACGATGATGACGACGACACTGATGAAGAAGCTGAAATAGAAGAAGAAGAAGAACATTTGGACCGATTTAGAAAAAAATATGACGATGTAGATGATGATGAAGGGGACGAAGACGACGACAACGAAGATGATGATGTTGATGAATATGATAATAGTGATGATTCTGAGCTTTATTCCCTCTTATCTCGGCGAAGAAGAAATGTCGAATCTTCTGCAGACGGTCAAGCCTCCAGTCCCATATCTATGAAAAAACGGCAAGTTGATGATGATTATGAAGACGATGACGATTACACCGACGACTATGACGACGACGACGACGAGAACGATGATGGAGATAAGGAAGAGAAGGATTATGAAGAAGATGTTTCTGATTTGGTTTCATTATTAACACGCGAGAAGAGAAGTACTGACAGCAAAACTTCTGAAGAGAAACTACCCATAGCTAAACGACAATATGATTACACAAATGACGGTGATCTTGAATATGACGATGATGATGTTTCAAATAATTTGGTTTCCAAGTTATCAAGAAAAAAACGACAAACTGGTGATGATGAGGAAGATGATTATGATGAAGATGATGATGATGATGATGATGATGATGATGATGATGATGATGTTGATGATGATGATGATGACGATAATGACGATGATGATGATGATGATGAGGATGATGATGATGATGATGATGACGACTGGGAAGAAGGTGGCAGTCCAATAGATGACTCTGGCTTATTATCTCTATTATCAAGAAATAAAAGAAGTGTCAATGATTATGAATATGAATATGGTGATGATGACGGAGAGTTGGGTTTATATGCTGGTGATTTAATTTCTTCCAGGAAGAAGCGTAGTATGGATGAAGGTGATAGCAACGTTAACAGACAGAAAAGAGAAGCAGATAAAGCTTCGGGGGCAGCTGTTTCACGATCGAGGCGTCATTTAAGGAATTACGATGATTACTATGATAGTGGTGATTCAGAGTACACGGATTATTACAATGATGAGACCGCTCCATTACGTCAACCGATATTTCCACAGATGACTGGTTTATTGCCACGAGTTGACCGCCCATTTCCACAAAATCGTGGTCCATTGCGGCCCATTAATCATCCGCTGTTAAAACATCGACGTAAGAAGCCGAGTCTACCCGTTGCTCCGGGGATGAATTGGCTACAGTTGACAGGTACCACTGCTAGTGTCACAACGCCGTCTCCAGGTAATGTCACAGAACCACAAAAACAGAAGAGATCTTTTAATGACCACCAAGCCTATGAAGACAATCTGGATGTTGATGTTAGTGCTTATGACGAAATATTAACTCCTAATGATTACGATGATGAAATTTTTTTGCCACGTGATGCTTATCAGAGGTCTGCCGAAATAAACCCATCAGCTTCAATTTTAGAACAAACGAACAACGGGAATCCTAATGCGAATAACCAGCTTGGTTCGGATATGCAAGTAAATCCTGTGGAGATTGACATTCAAGGTGAGCTGGACAAGGTATTTGAAACGACAGGAGCTGAAAACATGAAGCCTCCCCAAACGATCCTTCCGGGGGCGGATTTGCCTGAAGTAAGGCATGTAGGGCCGGAATTGGCAGTTGGTGAAAGAAAAATTTTTAACCCAGTACCTGTAAAAAAGCAACTTGCCAGGGCCATCTTGAATATTTTGCACAAACGTAAGGAAAGATTAAGGCGCCAAAAAAGAAGTCTTAGTTTCAAACTGGAATATGATGCCGTCGGGAACGATGGTAGTAATAAGGGTTTTTTTAAAGAAGCTGAGGTATTAGAGGAAACAGATGAAGATGCCAATAGGGGTTCGTAATTACTGGTATGTGCAAATCTCATAGTTTAACCTTACTTGTTGAGCATAGACATTTTACTAAGCTACGTTCTTATGGTTTGGTTATTTTTAGTAAATGACCACGTAAGCTTATGGATTAAAACTGTCCCTGTGTCTTTCTACAGATTATTGGACTAAGGATGATTATTTTAGCAATTTACTTAAAGGAGCATTGGGTACTAAAGAGCTGACAGTTCTCGCTATAATAGTTAAAAATAGATAGTGAAAATAGAAAATGCTGTTGTTCTTAGAGTTTAAAGGGGATGGCTCAATGGTTAGCGTCGACTAGCGTGGTTTCGAATCCCCGGTTGTACGTGGCAAGGAGTAGGGTCGCCTGTCCAACCTCGTGGGTTTTCTCCGGGTCCTCCGGTTTCCTCCCACTGCTAAAGACCCCTACGCGCAAGCGAATTATGTAAAAAAAATTAATCCATATGTTAGTCCCGAAATGACCTAGTTTGTGTCGAGTGGACGTTAAACCCCATTTCTCTCTCTCTCTCTCTCTCTCTCTCTCTCTCTTAGAGTTTAACGTCCGCTTCCACCGAAGGTGATATCGCAATCAAGTGTTTTCATTTTTATTTTCATAGCGCACGCGCAGGGGTCTTTCCTGTGGGTGGAAACCGGAGTACCCGGATTAAACCCACGAGATTCTCCAAGCCACATACGCTCACACACTTCAGAGATGACCGGCCAGCTAGAGGTCGAAGCGGGGCACTCTAAACCACTAGGCCATACCAATCCCACGCCAAATTGCTTCACTGAACAAAGATATTAACATTCAATTTTTGGCTAGCCTCGATCATCATTACTAACGTTGGTTCTATAATTAACAAAGTCTCGATTATCTATTTTTACGTTAAATTATCCATCACAAAATGTATTCATATCCACTAAAGATCGCAGGCTAACGATGGCATCGAGTGTTGATTATGGCCTGGACCAGTAAATTAATGTCTAAGGCCTGAAGAAAGACCTGCAATAAACAGATTTAGCTCTTGCATAATGCATGTTTAAGTGTCAAATAGTTTGTAAATACTGAAGCTGAAAAATGACGTTTATGGTCTGGCATTTACTTTAGCCGGCCTAATTTGTTTACACAATTTTTAATTCTCCTGGGTTTTTTTAGGTTATGAAACGTGGGGTAGTTGGAGTGAATGCAGTAAAACTTGTGGTGTTGGGATACAAGAACGATTTAGAAAATGTGATGATGTCACGCACTGTTATTCTGGTGATTCCGAGATGCATCCCTGCTTTTTGCAACCTTGTTGATTTATTTTATTGGCCTTACAATCTGATTACAGATCAATATTTCGTTTCGTTTTTTTATACTTTCGATGGCCTACACAACATGACGATCTGACAAGTTTTACTTAAAAGTCGCGTCAGGGTCGTAGGAGCGGCTTTTGACCCTATGACGTCAGACATTGATTAATCAATCAGCTTTGACGTTTCTAGTGGTGTACCCACAGTTCCGTGCATGGCACGCCAAGAAGTCGCCGTAACAGATGGTTTCATTGGCTAATACCACACGCCATTCAGAACGCATGTTATATAAAAACTCTTCCAGATCCTAGTGTAGTACAGACAAATAGAAAGAAATTTTAAACTATAAAAAACGAAACGAAATAGGATCTGTATTTTAATCAGATTGTTGGCCTTATTATGACAAACCTGTGATTCATATAAAAATAAAATAAAGGATTAATTTGTTTATTAGAGGAGTACTTCAAAATAGAATGTTTGACATTCCAGAATAAGACACATGCACTGAAAAGTAATATGCATTCTACTGCTTGTCGAGAATCGGGGTGGTTGTTTTAAACTTATTTTAGCGTTCTTCCCATACAATAATTGAGTTGTTTAAACTAACAAAGCTAAACATCGTGATATCCATCAAAGGCTTGAACAAGCCATTTCCATTATAATTTGGATTATGTTTGAGATAGGTTTGTCGACGATAGATTGTCGGTCAGTGGCACACTTATGATGGCCGATGGGCTGTATAATTTACAGCCGATAAACATTAAAACATTGGTGTTCAGTAAATTATTCAATTAAAGTCTGAAACAGTCATATACAGGACTCCCTAAACCCGTGTCAGAAGTAGAATTATACGTTTAAAACAATATAATGTTAGTTGGATCAGATAAAAGAGCATTAATATTATTTTGACTATAGAGCTGGAGGACAATTCTATGGTGGCTGATTTAGGACACGCAAAAAAAAAGAAATAATATCTCGAGCGCTCGAAATACTAAGTATGTAGAGCGCTCGAGATAGTTATGTCGAGCGCTCGAGATAATTAAGTCGAGCGCTCGAGATACTATTGCGAGCGCTCGAGATAATATAACCTAACCGAACACGTCTCAACGTTTTAAGCTGTATAATTTTGTGCATAACTTGATGATAAACTTGCAGAATAAAAATATTCATTTGTTCGTTTTTACAGCCCATCCAAAGCTGCAGTGGCGGAGCGCATACCCCCCCCCCCCCCCCACACACACACACACTCCATCCCATGCTCATCACCACCACTAAATTTTTTCCGTTATATTTATCCCCTTCCAAGTGGGGAGTATATTGCATGTTATTATACGAATCAATAATTGTATAAAGAGGCTACAGAGTTTTGCTAGGAGAGACTGACATGTCCTCTTATCTAGAAGCTCAGGTCTGATCCAAGGTTATTTATTTCATATATCATATGTAGGGACTGATCATTGTCTAATTTACCCTGGCGCCGGGCTTCTACACCCCCCCCCCCCCCGCGCGCGACAGGCCGTTCCCCACATGTGCACCTTGTTCTAGTTTGGTATTCTTATTAAATTCAGGGTCCTTGCTGTGGGAGGAAGCCTAACGACACAGAGTAAAACCACACGATTGACAAGGCACCTGTATCAAGTCACATACGCTTACATCAGGGACCGAACTCATAACTACAATCCCGAAGTTGTTGGCCAGCTATAGCTTGAAGCGCGACAACCCCTCACTCATCACAGATTACTCGTGTGGTTTTACTCCGTGTAATTATGTTTCCTCCCACAGCAAGGACCCTGAATTTAATAAGATAAAGGTTTCCCGGAGGGTGGAAGAGGACGTTGAATCCCCAAGAGGAAATGTCAGTCTCTCCTAGCAAAACTCTGTAACCTCTATATATACATGTACAATTATTGATTCGTATAATAACATGCAATATACTCCCCACTTGGAAGGGGATAAATATAACGGGAAATATTTAGTGGTGGTGATGAGCAGGTTTGAAACAAAATCCATTACAGCTTGTAGGCTAAATTGTGTTAACTAAGTTTTCGGAAAAGGAGAGGTGACTCTGGAATGGATAGTTGCGGAACGCTGAACATCGAGGCGTCCTCTCACGACCCCAATGCTTCACGCAAAATATAAAATAAATCTGTTAAAAAATTTAGCCTATATGTTAACTATAACTCAATATCGAGGAACGCTGAAAATCGACAGTGTTCGCCCCCTTATATGACCCCAATGCATCACACCAAAAATGAAATTTTGGCGTATTTAAAAAAAAAAAAAAATGGGCTTTTATATTTTTATCTCCCTTGAATATAAAGAGAAATGGGGTTAACGTCCACTAGACACAAATTAGGACATTTCTGGACTAATATATGGTTCAATTTTATTTCAATAATTCACTTGAGCCGTCAGGATCATTTTGTCTGCAAGTTCGTCTCACTTGTTTCCGGAGAAGAACTCAGAAAATAATCACTATTTTGGCATGCAACTCTTTACACTCATCATTCGGGTGCTGCAGTGGTGCCTTCAGCTATTTAGACTTTTTTGTAATTATTATTTTTATCTGTGTTCTGCATAAAAGAAGACTTACTCAATCCTGGGGTGGGTGTTGTGGTTTCTGGAGCAGATCTCCCGCAAAAGTATTTATCGGGTGGTTATTCCCAATAAAGGTATGGCAATTTTGGTATACAGTATATGGCAAGTAGAATTATCCAATCTTACTAGAAAAATACTGGATTCCCTGAAAAATACCCATGGAACGCATACGGGGCAAAAATGTAAAGGTTTCTCTAACCAAAACCCCGACGATTAGGGATGTCTGCTTGAGTACATGACGTCAAAGGTCGCCCGCGAAGATTGATCTCCCAGCGTTACTGAGCGGTCGATGTATAATTATGTTGATAAACTTGGTGGTTTCTGAGATAAAAACCACAGAAAAAGACTTGGGCAGTGGATAATTCGAAAATTTATTGGGATTTATGATACTCAGCTATTAAAGACAACAGCGGCAGCACCCATCCAATGGAATAAACTCCCAGCAACATTAAAGGAATCCAGAACTTTAGAGTCCTTTAAATCATCCTTGAAAACTCACTTATTTAACTGTGAATACCAAACGTGACAGTGCAGCTCAGCGCCATCGAGTAGAACAGTTCTAGATGAGAGGCGCTATACAAATTCATTATTATTATTATTATTATAATATATGCAATGAATACTCATCCGTCTTCGCACCTGTTACTAGGTACCGCGTCAGCCTAGTCACATGACACAAACATGACCTCCTTTGAAAGATTTTTATAGCAGGGGTATTCCCTGGCGAATACACTGATTTGAGAATGATTTGAAGAAAAATTACGATAGATTAATTAGTTTGAATATGTTTTTAGTCCAAATATATCATCAAATCACCCAGTTTATACACAGGAATGTATCTTTAATATTTCTTCGCAAAACGTTCTACGCGTAGCCTAACAACCAAATATCGAAATGAGACTTTTTCGACATATGCATATATTTTTCAGTTTTATATATAAAATTAGTCTTAGTCTAATATCAGGGTGGGTCCCACTTTGCCCTCCCTAGATCCGGTACTGTTTCCGGAGAAGATCTCTAAGACTATTTAACATTTTACGAAAAATATACACACAACGATGTGAAATAATTTTCAATGAGGGTCAACAAATGAAATCCACTGAGTCTGACAAGTTCAATTTTGACCCAAATCAAATGGCTTTAGTTACTGTATCGGCTTACTTTACATCCTAGATTTCATCTTAAGTTTAAGAAGAGAGAGAGAAATGATGTTTAACGTCCACTCGACACAAACTAGGTCATTTCGGGACTAACACATGGTTCAATTTTATTTCAATAATTCGCTTGCGCGTAGGGGTCTTTAGCAGTGGGAGGAAACCGGGGGACCCGGAGAAAGCCCACGAGGTTGGACTGGCGACCCTACTCCTTGTCACGTACAACCGGGGAATTGAAACCACGCCAGTTGACATAATGACAGACCGTATGATTCAGCGCGCGCGTGCTAACCATTCGCCCCCCCCCTCCCTTAAGTTTAAGAAAATAAAAGAAAAATAAACCCCGATTTCATTTTAATTTTAAGAAAATAAAAAAAAATAATTATATCCTAGATCCCATCTTAATTTTATGAAAATAACATATATCCTAGTTTTCATAGTTTTAAGAAGAAGAAAAATCATGTACCGGTAACATAAAACCACAGGCACTTGAAGGGATTAAAATAAAACTTCTTACTACTCTTTGACTGTATATTACAGTAATAAGCTGTAATATAGTCAAAGAGTAGTAAGAAGTTTTATTTTAATCAATTCAAGTGCCTGTGCATAAAACCTTGACGGGATGCCCTTAATAACAGATAGACTATATGGTCTTCCGGGAAGTTGGGCGATTAAAATTAGTTACTTGCTCCACCCTGAATCTTCCGCCAATAAGACAACAAGAGTTATCTTCCTTTGAAAATAAATGGCGTCAGATTATGTAGTCTTGTTCATCAAAGCTGGAATATAAAGAAGCTTAGAGTCGTCCTATAATAGAAGACTAAAAAGAAGGAACGTAAAGCCTGGTCTATTATTTTTAGCTAGACAAAGCACGCATTAATCAGTACAAGATTGGCCAGTATTTACAGATATGCTTTCCCGGTCAATAAGAGCAGAAACCCGTAGCCGCGCGAAAGAAGATATTAAACGCGTGATCAGTGCACTAGATAAAGTAAAGAAATGGTAAGTTTTGATGTAATCCACGGTAGGGTTGATTATATGGTGACACAGTGAAAATAGAACTGTTTGTTAGCCTAGTCTAGGTTATGTCTACCTGCCCTTAGCTATGTTAATATCGGAACCGGTGCCTTTTTACACTTTGATTTATTTATATTTCTTTCGATTGCCACACAGTGCCGTGTGAAATTGTTTGTTTTTTTTACCCCCCCCCCCTCAAATTATTAATGCCAGAGTAGTGTCAGTAGGCTACAGCTACTGAGCTAGGCGAGACCTAATGGCTAATGCTATCCGTAGCCATAATTCCGAGATCTTTGAATCTTCCAGTCTGTCCTCTTGAGTCTGAAATTATTGATAACGGCTAGTCATCAGACGAGAACTCTAATAAAATCAAACAGAAGAGTTTTCAAGTCAAGGCTTATCTCTTATCTATATTATTGGTAGGGTTGCACGTCATCATCCAATCTGTTTCACATGTCATTTTGGTCCTGTTTCATTTCAGACTTACGACATTTCGGACTCCAAAAAATATGCCCTTGACGTTTCAGACTCAGACAGGTGACATTTTGGAATTGGGTAGGTGACTCGGGAATAAGGTGAAAAGAAAGGTTGAACACAACTATCAAATCAATTTTTAATAAGCCAAAAATGATTTTAAAAATATAACATGCATGTAAAATTTACTGCTTGTCATCAAGTCAGCTAAATATACACAAATTTTCAACAATATTTTATTGTCAAGTTCAATAAAATTTCAACAGTTTTAATTATTCATCAGAGGCCAAAACGTTGCCAGACTGAGTCCGAAAAGTTGTCAAGTAAGCCTGAACGGTCATCATACTGGGTCCGAAAGGTTGTCTGTGTTAAGTCCGAAATGACGCGGGACTGAAATGTTGTGCTACCCTTCTACTTACTCTGTAAAAGATGACTGCTTTCAACATATGACATCACTTCACGCGGCGTCAATCATTGGCTCAATGGGGCATGTATTGTTTACATATGACATTACTTGTCCAGGCAGAATGGTTCTTTTTACTAATTTTACATACCCATTTACACTAAATAGAAAAAAATATTGTTTACCTACATATACTGCAAACACCTTTATTTATTTATGTAATGCTTAAAAAAAATGTTCTAGAATTTAATTTGCAGAAGGAAAAAAGTTAATATTGGGGACTCATTAAGCCACACTAATGTCATCCCTATCAGTGATTGTAGCGACCGAGTGAATATTCACTGCCGATCCCTGAGGTTATCATCATGCACCACAGGATAGGGTAATTTCTGTGCACATCAGATAATAAGATTAGGATTGTTTACAAAGAAATAGAGTGACAACAATAAAAACAAAAACCCTCTAATAGCCAACAGTATTCATTGGGTGTTCATATATTAAGCTGATATATTTCTTGTCTTTTAAAGGGAGAAGAAATGGGTTACAATTGGAGACACAACTATGAGAATATTTAAATGGGTTCCAGGTAAGTAACAATATTTATTATTGTGAATTAGTCTTGTCACCAAATGATGAGTTTAAAAAAGGAGCTAAATCGCCAATATTTGGGACCTAGAAATTGACACAAATGGGTCGCAATGCATATAATTAAGGTAATATGAATGTATAAAACTGGCTTACATTCAATCGTTTCTGTTTTTAAATCAGTTATGCTCGACGAAATACGCCAGAAGTCTCAATCAAATGCCAATCTCTAGTGTCTTGTTATTCCAGTCTACACCGATAGTATTTATTGTGCATGCTCTCCAGATAAGAATATGGCGTCAACGTTTGATATGAGTTGTGGAATATGTCTAGACATTTTGTCTTAAATATTGGATATCAGAAGCCCATCTTTTCCCTGTAAGATCACAACATCAATGTTGATTTAAATTCACAAATAATTTGTGATTTTAATGTCGAAGACTATGGATGATACTGAGTTAAAGACTTGGCTACTTTAAAATCTCTGTGCTTCATGTGCATTTTTCACAATATAACCAATTTTCCCATTTTAATTCAGATACTATTAAGGGTAGATAATCAGGTTTAAAAAAGGGGCCAGTCAAAGGATAACATTGAATTTTAAAGAGAATGTTAGCTTGTAAATAAATGAAATGGAGTTTAACGTCCTACTGTTCTGCTCCGAACTAGGCTAATGAAGACGGGCATAGGCCATACAGTGTGCTATGAGGGAAATTTTGCCTGGACAGTGGCACTACGGCCTACTCTTATATCAAATTCCAACTGTCACGCCAATGTGTCCACCGGACCTCGGTTTTTCGTTCCATCCGAACGACTAGACAGCTGTCCTTGTCAGGCCCTCCGTCCTGCATCACTGACAAGGGAGAACCACGCCGGAAAATCTGGATGAACTAGCTCGGCCAATGCAGGGATCGAACACCCGACCTCAATTCTAGCCAGCCCGCGTCTTACCCACTTAGCCACCATGATCCCCCAGCTTGTAAATAAGAGTTATTATAGACGAAACAGCTGTAAATAATTTTTTGTCAACCATTAAATATCAAAATGATCCCTGTCCAACACATAATATACAACAATTATATTTGTGACCAAAATCAAGGAGGTCTTAACATTTCAAAAGGGTATATTGACAGTTCTATCTTTAACCTTTCTAGCAGTCACAATAAGACATTGAAAATTTATTGTTTTTCTCATTTTAAATTTCAGTGGCAAATCAGGAATCTTCACCAAGAGTAAGTATTATTATTATAAATATAATCCTCTACATCAATTTTATTATTCCAAACGATCTGTCTTAATTAGCACAGTCAGTGCAGATTAAACTAACATCTGTGTTGATTTTGGTACATTAATAAAATGTCTTTTGGTCGAGCAAACTAATAATGGGATGAAGGGAAGAGTAAATTTTGTCAATTTGTTATATTAATATTATTTTTATATTTTTCAGTCAGCCACAAGTAATCGTAAATTTTTCAAAGGGAAATCAGGAAGTAAATCAGGTAGGTTAGATTGTCCAGTCAGCTAATTTTGCTTTTCAACATCTAATATCAGCTTTAAAATCTGCTTTTCAACCAAATTATTTACTATTTTGCTTCCATTGCTTTACTTCAAAGGTTGTCTGATTTGAATATAAAAACAAATCCTGTTTTGTGATTTCTTTATCTGCCCACGATAAACTGATTGATCTTTCTGGAATCACTCATACTAGCAAAAAAGCTTAAACAGGTTGATTGATTTTATTATCCAAGTCCTCATAGAGAAGTATGAGATCATACTGTATGATGCATCATATTGTTGTTTGATTTTGACATTTATTATTAGAATAGAAAGGGCTTGAAATAAATAAATGATATGTAATATTACAAAGCTTTGCTTTTATTTAATTAGCACTAGAAAAGCTTGTTACTTGCACTGCTAGCAATATGTATATTATTACATGTATTTATTAGAGCTAACTTGACCTTTGCTTGCTTTATTATTTATCTAGATACAACTCATGGGAAAACGAAAAACTCGTCAAAACAGACCAAAACTGCGGAAACACCGAAAAACATTCAAGAAGATTCACAACTATCTGTTGACAGTAGTTACAATAGTAGCTCTAACTTAGGTTCGATCCCTTTGTTTATTATACACTACCCATTTTTATGTTTCGCCCAAATAATGTGGGCAGTAAATGTTACATTTGTCGATGCATAAACAATATTAATCTGTTCTTGGTGAAGCTTGTGGTAAAATTTGGAGGTTTGAAAATGGCATTTGGACATATGATATTTTCATCAATGTAAACCAATGTCAAATGTATTAATTCTTTTAGATGAACTTGTTTTGAAAAAAATTGAAATTCGGTGTTATTGTGGATTGATATCAATGTATGTTCAGATCAGATGTCATTTCATGTAGTAAGGTCATCATAGGAAGCTTTTAGAATGTAGAAAGCTTACTTAGATTCTTAGCTTACCAAAACCATAGCTTAATTGCTGGCTAAGACCTTAGATTTTTTATACGCCCACATTGAAATGTGGTCGTATATTGTCGTCGCCCCCATCCGTCGGTCTGGCGTCCACAATTGCTTGTGGACGCTCTAGAGGCTAAAGTTAATATCCAATTGACTTTAAATTTATATACAGTGTTTAAGGCCATGAGACGAAGAAGCCTATTGATCACTTTGAAAAATCTTGTGGACGCTCTAGAGGCTAAAGTTAATATCTGATTGACTTTAAATTTATATACAGTGTTTTAAGGCCATGAGACGAAGAAGCCTATTGATTTTCAGCAATTTCTGATAATTACTGCCAGAGTTATGGCCCTTGATCACTTTGAAAAATCTTGTGGACGCTCTAGAGGCTAAAGTTAATATCTGATTGACTTTAAGTTGATACACAGTGTTTAAGGTCATGAGACGAAGAATCCTATTGATTTTCAGCGATTTCCGATAATTTATGCCTGAGTTATGGCCCTTGATCACTTTGAAAAATCTTGTGGAAGCTCTAGAGGCTAAAGTTAATATCCGATTGACTTTAAATTTATACACAGTGTTTAAGGTCACGAGACGAAGCCTATTGATTTTCAGCAATTTCTGATAATTACTGCCAGAGTTATGGCCTTTGATCACTTCGAAAAATCTTGTGGACGATCTAGAGGCTAAAGTTAATATCCGATTGACTTTAAATTGATACACAGTGTTTAAGGTCTTGAGACGAACAAGTATATTGATTTTCAATGGATCTTTATGACTTGAACAGCTAAATCCATGATGTTAAAAGTTTTGTATACTAAACGTTAGCATGGGGCAGAACTTTATAAAAACCAAACAAATTCTAATGGTTTTCTGATAATTACTTAATGAGTTGTTACTCTTAATCAGATTTTAATGTATTATAAATGTTCCATTACCGAAAAAAGTAAAAATATGCGACAACTGTTTCGTTGCCTGGCAACCTATCTTTTAAGAATACTATTCAGGTATAACAATAATCACTTTTAACAAATCATAATATTTTAATTTTTACTCACTGTTAAGCTTAGAACATAACAGCATAAAAATAATTATTATGTGCATCTACATGTAGTTAACTTGTCAGGCAAAAACAAAAATTTTTATTAATCGCTATAACTTGTTGCATTGATACTGATTTGAATCTCGAGAATCTACACGACCATATTGTGGGTTAATAGTTTTACTATTTCGTAATCCAGAAACAACTTGCATCCTGAATTACTATATGAAACTGGGGAAGAATTCATTCAATTACACACACTCTTGAAAATACATTATCAATATTCAATATCAGCAAGAATATAAATGTAATTAATTTTATAACTAACATTACAAATAACCAACTTTTTCACAAATTGACCAATTTTATTAGTGCTCCTGATTTGCCAGTGAAATTACATGGAAACATTTATCATAGTTGCACAACTTCCTCTTTAACATGATACCTTCACTCACATGATGTCTATATCATTCCAGTGCTATTTTAAACAATATTTACTATTTTAACCTCAATGATTAAAACCCAGATCCTATTTCGTTTCGTTTTTAAAGTTCAAAATTTCGTTTTACTTGCCTTTACTCCACTAGGATCAGGGAGAGTTGTTATATAACCCGCATTGTGGATGATGTGAGGGATTTGCCAATGAAACGGTTTGTTACATATCAATGCTGATTGGTTAATCAAATGTCTGACGTCATAAGGTCAAAAGCCTGACACAACCTTTCACTACAACCGGTCAGATATTTATGTAGTGTAGGCCATCGAAAGTACATGTATATATATTTATATAAAAAAAAAGAAACGAAATATAGATCTGTATTTTAATCAGATTGTAGCTATATATTCATTAAAATTACCGGTATAGCTACAGATTAAAGGAAGACAATAATTGAATAAATACTAAAATGCTGTGTAAGATATAGTAATAGTAACTATAGTCAGTCAATTACCAGTATCAAAAATTACAACATTTATAAACTAGTAGCACAGCTTTTTGCATGAGCATAGGCTGTGCTCCTTGGAAAACACTACATAATCAGAAATTTAACTTCTATAATCATTGTAATCAAATCTTTTCTGTTTGTCAGTGGTAATCGAAGTGAAGTTTCCTCTTTAAAGCACCATATTCTTGTTGCCTTTGATCATCTAAATTCTGTTGCATAAATTTTATATAATAATGTCCTCATTCTTTATTTTAGGACGTGCAGCAGCTTCAGTTTATTCAGAAGAGAACACTCAACAATCCCATGATTCAAATTGTAGTGAAACCAATATTTTTGAGGATTCCAATATGTCGTTTGCTGATAATTCGGTAGATTATTCACAAGATAGTAATGATATAGAAGGTAAGAATTTTATTTGAAGAGTAATGTCAAGAATTGCTGCAGTTGATTATGCACCAAATGATTTTATATGCCCACATTTTTTGTCTGTTTCAAATGAAACTCGACATATGTTTTAAGGGTCAACAAAAGGATCAATACGGATTAGTTTGGTGACCATTGACTTTCGATCCAGAGTTATGCACCCTTTTCGAAAAACTTGTGTACGTGATAAAGGCTATGTTTTTTAACAGATTTTTTTTTCAAATTTGGTGAGCGAACCTTATCAATAATCTATGTTCTGCAACATTTTGTTCTAGAGTTATGCCCCCTTGCACAAAAATTTTGTGAATGTGATAGTGGCCACAGTTTTTAACCAATCTTCTTCCAATTTGGTGTGAGGCATTGTGTTCATGAGAGGTCGACCCCTATTGATATTCAGCGTTCTGCAACCTTTCGTTCTGGAGTTATCCCCTCTTTGCCAAAAATGTTCTGAATGCGATAAAGGCTACAGTTTTTATATGCCTACATTTTCATGTCGACATATATTGTCGTCGCACCCATACATGTCACAATTTTTATCACATTTCAACGAAACATGAAATATAGGTTTATCTCTCAAAAATCTCAGATCCTATCGATATTGGCATGTATTGGATTATAAATTCATGGATTATGGCCCCTGATTGTATGAAAAATCATGTTTTTAGCTTGTGGACACTTAAGAGGTCACAATTTTGATCCGATTTTGATGAAACTTGAAATATATGTTTATAACTTAACAATCTCGGTTCCTTTCGATATTTGCACAAAATGGCCGCTCCTTGAACGCAGATTGTTTGAAAGTATGTAATACAAAGGTTGTGGACCACGCTAGAGGTCACAATTTTTTCTGATTTTGATGAAACTTAAAATATATCTTTATATCCCACAGATCTCAGTCCCTTTCGATATCCGAGCATTTCGGACCATAAATTCCTGGATTATGGCCCCTGATCGTACGAAAAATCGTGTTTGTTTTTTTTAGCTTGTACTCTATCCATCTCTTGCAAAATGTGGGCATATCTTGCCTGGCAACCGCTGGTTCCAACAGATTTATTTAAAATTTGGCGTGTAGCATGACAGGACGAACCCTATCAATAGTCAGCAATCTGTGACATTTAGTTCCAAAGTTACCGCTGTTTTCAGAAAACCTTGTCACAATATTTCACTGTTACACCCTAATGACGGCTGAGTTAGAATTTTGTGAAATTCGGACCAAAACTGCCAGACAAAATGGCCGCCTCTCGTACGCAAATAGTGTAAATATATGGTATATCAAAGTTGTAGACCCTCTAGAAGTCACAATGTTGGTCCAATTTTGATAAAACTTGAAATATATCATCTTTATAACCCAAAGATCTTGGTTCCTGTCTATATTCGTGCATATCGGATCGTAACTTTCTGAATTATGGCCCTTGATGTTATGAAAAATCTCTTTTTGTTTAGCTTGTTCTCTATCCATCTCTTGCAAAATGTGAGCGTATCCTGCCTGGCAGCCGCTGGTTAACAGATTTATTCCTAATTCAATGTGAAACATTTGAACAATGAGAGGATGAGTCCTATTTCCCAGTTCTTCGTCCATCTATTGTAAATTGTGGGTGTATCTCTTGTGGCAACCACTTGTCTACAATATTAAATCCAACTGCTCTTTATAAAACTATTTATTCGTTATTGATACAGCATACTGAACACTCCAAATTCATGGAAAAGCTTACATTTGCTGCAAATATTTAAAGAGAACTACAGAAGATAAATTGACTTATTTTTGTATTTAAATTATAGGTATGAATACTAGTCTGGGTGATGATGACAAGATTAGAAATGGATCAAATGAAGAAACAAATGGTAAGATTGGTATCCATCTACCACAACATATTTTTAATACTAAAATTAATGATAGTTTTGCTTACGGTACTAAATGTTCCCAATCTGTTTAAAATACAGATCTATATTTCGTTTCGTTTTTTTTATATACTTTCAATGGCCTACACTACATGAAGATCTGAGAAGTTATTGCGATAGGTCATGTCAGGGGTCAAAAGACCGACTTATGAACTAATGACGTCAAACATTTGATTAACCAATCAGCATTAATGTTACTAGTGGATTACCCACAGTTCCTTGCAAAACACGCCTAAAGCTCGCCGTAACAGACCGTTTCATTGGCTTATCCCTGACACCATTGAGAACACGAGTTAAATAACAACTCTTCCAGATCCAAGTGTTGTAAAGACAAGTAAAACAAAATTTTGAACTATAAAAACGAAACGAAATAGGATCTGTGTTTTAATCAGATTGAAATATTCCCCAAGCACTTTGTGATGTGCAATGCATGTTTTCTTTCAGTGATAGAAGGCAACCATGGTTCATTCCTATAAAAACTAACTGAATTTAGCATTATTTTGTGAATAATAACTGTTCTTCACTTTGTAATAAAGCTTAAAAGTATAAAGACTGAAGAACATATATTTTTATTTGTTGGAAACTAAACATTATTGTGCAGAATAAATATTTTCATATATTTAAATGGTAATTATAATTAGTTTTATATCTGTTTTTCCTTGTAATGTTTTTGTCACAATATATTTCTGTAACAAATAACACAGCTTTATCCTAATTTCAGATTCTGAGCCTCCTCCAGTGTTAGAAAGAGAAACGGATATGACACCTTCCAAACAAGGAGAAGATAACTCTAACAGCAACATATGATGATAGTTTTATAACATTATAAAGTGTTAATGTGTCGTGTGTGTAAAGTTTATTTTTGTACAACTCTGGTCACTAATGTTTCTCATGTTATTATCCAGTATACCGTATGGTGGTGCTATTGTGTAATATGTTTGTGCTGATTATATAAGAAACTTAGATGCTGATTGAAACATTGAATTTGGATCCATTTTGTTCAATGATTTTAATAAATTGTTAATGAATTGAATAGGCAAAGAGAGCCTGTTTATAATTTCCATACGGATTGACAGTATTTCATTCAGAAGCTTTTACCCCATAAATTTGATGTGTAATTTGTATTAAGTGGCGGGTGATTTCTCTAAGTCTCTTTGGCTATAAAATTCATTTTTTTCCCCAATGCTTTTGCACTCAGTAACAGTAATGGAAATTGTCCTGAACATCAAACCATAGTTAGATCAAACAATCCCAGAACAGAGTGTAGACAAAACAATTAAAACACATACACAGAGAAGTTAAGTTATACAATGAAAATGTGGCGAAAAAAGACACAATATTGAATGACTAAAAAATGGTTGATACCCTGAAGACAAGTACATGGATGCCATAGATGAAAGAGTAGACAATCTCAGTTTTTGCATCATATGAAGTGAATGGTTCAGGAGGATAGATCGACCAATTGCCATGGACTTCACATACTCTTTTCTCAAATTGATTAGTATGAATTGTACAGCATAGATGAACAAAGACATTTTATCTTGAGATAATGTGACTAAAGAGATTGGTTGAAGATTAAGACTTTTGATCAACACATTTTCTATTAAAAGCATTGATCATCATTTTCAATTCAACATTTCTTTGTAGATACAGTGGACTCTGTCAATTCCGACATCATATGGGATCGATACAATGCACCCTCGAACACACAGAACTTAAAATATGATAACACTTTCTGTACATTCAAACTTTTATTACATTATATCAATTGAATAATTAACGGCTAATTTCTTCTCTGTAGGTCGTGGAACTTTCTCGACATCTGTATGGGCACGCTTTGCAGGACGATCACACATTATGAACACAATATTATTATAATGATAGTGATTTTTCATCTTGGCAATTTATATATAATGTCGCTGTATTTGACGTCAGAAACTCAAATATATACCAAGAGATTATAAAATTATCAAGGTAATCAACAAAGACCGACCCATGTTTTATGCTCACAGATAATTGATTGGTGATTGCTTCTTGGCTAACACCCACTGATTGAAGGCTGGATTATCCAATGTTAATTGTACGCAAATCATGTGGCGGGACTGCTGATTGATGTCAGAATTCAAAATATTCAGAATTCGGATTACTCAAGACATTTTTGGTTGAAGTAATAAGGAAATAAATCGCGACATGAAAATGATGACCGATTTCACATAATGCCGTAATATTCAGATGTCAGAAGTGACAGAGTCCACAGTACTGAACAAAATGTATCCATTTTTATGAAGAGATTAAAATTTCACACTATTATATTTTACAAGGGATTGGCGTTCCTGCAAACGACGATATGCGACTTTAATGAGTAATGAAGAATATGTTGCATGATTAGGTATCTCATTTTTTTACAGATATTGTTTAAGTTTTACTTTTAATCATGATCATAGAATGTATTACATGACTAATCAATTTCTCTATTCTCATTATAATCATCTCGATACTGACCAGATTTTCAAATTTAATATTATTAAAGCTTACAGTTGCCTTCTGTTTGTTGCCTGTGTCAGTTAATATTACAACCTCAGGGCAAATATTTCATACAGTAATATTTTTCATTTCCATTCTCTTAACCTATACCATCATATGTTGATATTCATTGTTAATAAAATATTTCACCAAGCCAAGTTCTCACTTGTCAGTAATAATGTATTTTAGACTGCAAACGATTTATGTCCATCGGGCATTAAAAGTACCAAGTGATCCCATGGAAGAATCAAAATGCAGCTACTGGAAATACTTACACCCTACATTGACTACACAATAATACTGTAGTCAAAAAGAAAAGCATACTACAAACTGAGGTTAGTGCTACTAGATTCTAGAGTAGCCTTTAAGATTATAATATATGTCAAACTGCTTCAGTTATTGAAAAAGTGACTTTATGGCCACCATGTGTGAATTTGCCTGTTCACAATGAAAAGACAGCATATCCATAAAAACTGGCCATACTATCCAATAAAAAAATAATAAATTCCAAAGCAAAGTACACGTGTATTATAGCTATGCCAAAATAATGCATAATACAATAGATCATCACAAATCGCGATTCAGTCAATGGCCTGATTATTCTTGACATCCTAACCTTGACAATAAATTTTGGAATGAGGAGATCTCATCTGCGAGTCGGGGGAATTCAACATGCCATGTAACTCAAATAAAAACATAGCTGTCCAGGCAAGGTACTTCATTTTGGGGGGATTACACAAGGAACAGCTTTTGCAGAAAACCTCTGTGAACATCATTGGATAACTGTCCACTACTCTCTGGAGTGAGCATGACTTTGGTTATATACCATTAATAACTAATCTCGGTATCCCCAGTGGTCTCACTCCACTAACGAGAGAGAGAGAAATGGGGTTTAACGTCCACTCGACACAAACTAGGTCATTTCGGGACTAACATGGTTTAATTTTATTTCAATAATACGCTTGTGCGTAGGGGTCTTTAGCAGTGGGAGGAAAACGGAGGACCCGGAGAAAACCCACGAGGTAAGACTGGCGACCCTACTCCATGTCACGTACAACCAGGGATTCGAAACCACACCAGTCGACTCAATGACAGACTTTATGATACAGCGCGCGCACGCTAACTATTCAGCCATCCCATTGATTCATCGTTCATCCATGTATCTGCCCTTGATGACTGCTTTATTTATCCACCAATCAAAGAAAATTGTTAAATACATAAAAACATCTATCCCATCAAAAAGATGTTTTAGGACATCTTTTTGTGTGCGTGACACTTCTGTTATATTAAATATTTTGCAAACTTCCTAATAGTCCAGCGAACAAGCCAACATAGTGTTGTGAAGGTAAACAATGAGACCAAGGCTGGTTTGTAAACTGAATTTTTTTTATTGGTTTGTAGAATCAAGTTACGATCACGGGCACCTCCACATCCAACTGACTACTGCATAATTCTCTACACCAGACATGATTAAGGCGCTGGCTCAATGATCCCAAGATCCTCAGTTAATATCCAGGTGTGTGCTAAGAGTAAGAAAGTGGCTCAGGATTTTCCAGCCTTTTTTTTGTGTACGACCATAGATAATACCATATTATCTATGGTAGGTACTATAATACGACTGAGCTCTGTGTCAATGTGTGACTGTGAGCGTCAGGTTGACCGTCTCTAGACCTGATGCGGGCCCATAGCCAGCTCGTAAAATTTGGTGGGGCTATATGGAATTTTTTGGAGGGGCTGAGGATGTGGTAATATAATAATACTTCTGAGCTCTGTGTCAATGTGTGACTGTGAGCGTCAGCTTGACCATCTCTAGACCTGATGCGGGCCCGTACCAGCTCATAAAATTTGGTGGGGCTGAGGATGTAGCCGGCTAAGCTGGTGCTTATCACAAATCGCGATTCAGTCAATGGCCTAATTATTCTTTACATCCTAACCTTGACAATAAACTTTGAAAGTGATGCCAATTTACCGAAAGTTGTATTAAATGTGACAATGAGTAGGGCTATCTATCTAGTAGTAGTAGCCCATGGTTTATAAACATCTGCTTCCACAGTAGTGATGGTTTATAAACATCTGCTTCCACAGTAGTGATGGTTTCTCCAATCCCCTTCCATTGTTACTCCCAAACTACTGGGTTTTGAGCTCTCCTCTGATCTTTTACCAATAAAGTAATAAATACACAAGATAACAAAATGTTCTTCAAGCATTAAGCTTTTTAATCTGATGACATAAATTTATTTATGCTTCAAGTAATAATTCATTGTATACTACAAAACAAAAAATAGAAGAAATAGAAGATAGAAAAAGAGAATAGAACAGAAAAGAATGAAAGACAAGATAAATACAATAATACATATACTTGTATAGGATGAACAAAATTACATTTATAAATGAGTATGAAAAGTAGATACATACATACAATAGAGATAGGTTAACAAAAATACTGATATAATACTATAACATATATATCAGTAATATTTACTTATAACAATTATTATAAAGCAGTTATATAGAATTATGGACATGATGAAAATAACTGTATAGATACTCAATTAAAGTATTTTAGAAAATTGCTTCGACCTTTAATCCTAAATGGATTTTTAATTCCCCAGGAAGCCGACCAAAAATATGTTGGCCCCTATTTCATATTTCAATCACTGGATTAACATTTATACACAATAAATCACAATTATTTATTTTAATTATCTACATATATTGTCATGTGTTACTTTTGGTGATATTTTTATTATGTACATGAATATAAGAGAGAAACACATCTTATACTTAAAGTAAATTAATACATTTGAATACTGATTGAACTTTATAAGTTTGTTGAATTATGTATAATTATAATGTGGATATTCAAATATTATTGTTATAATATTTATTATTTGAGTATTTATTCAATATGTAAGTTTTAGTATGATTGAAAGTTAGTTTCTTTTTCAAATATGTTCACAGACAAAATGAATCTACTAATAATACTATCTGTAATTTCTTAAAAGCGGATGATCAATAATAGCATTAGTATGTTTTAATATTAACTGACCTTTAAAAAGTCACTCCATAAGGAAGATATACAATACTAAAATACTGGTTTGATACTAGTGATTCAGTTAGACAACATAGTACATTACAGACAGCACATAATATAGCACTAAAGTTTTCATTTATTTGAAATTCTTTCATTATTTACAAATTATGTTAATTCATAGGACAATGACAATGGCTTAAAGTGCAAAAAAAATTACTGTTGCAAAGCACCGACTGACATAGATCAGCACCTTTAGCAAAGATACCACATACTCTTCAGATAATGGTTGTCTCTATTTTTCTTCTGGCTTGGCGTGATTTCAAACTACCATTTGTTAGCATTGGTGAAGTACGTCTGAAAATGTACAGTTTATATTAATCTTTATTCCATGAGTGAAAATATGCATTCAATTATTAGTTTGGCACCATGAACAGGTACAAATAAGAACAAAGAGTAATACTCCCTTGAATCTAGTTTTTTTTTAATGCTTTATTTCTATTTGATTACAAAATATTTAATTCTTTTATAAAATTATAACTAAGCAAACTGGCTTTAAAAAAACTACACAAATGATAACTAACCTTGCTATACTTCTTTCTCGGAGTGTATTTGGTGTTAAAGCACTCAGTGCCTGCATATTAGCTGTTAAAGCTTCAACTTCTTTCCTCAGTCTTGTTGGTGTCTCTAATGATACACTGAAAAACACAATATAATGTCTAAATTCGCTCATATTCCATGCAAAGCTACTAATTGTAAACCAACCTACATGTAGGGTTAACCCTTTTGTTACTAGATACTACAGTCACAAGCTTGCTGCTAATATAGCTATTCTGTATAAAATTAACTACCTGTAGGTAACCTAGGGGCGGTTTCACGAAATTTGAACTAAGTTAAAATCCAAATTTTAGTAATTTGATTGGATAATATTAGATTGATTTTAGCACTTAGCCAATCAAAATTGAAGTATTTACTAAAATTTGGATTTTATCTTTAGTTAAGATTTCAAGAAACAGGACCCTATCTTTAGTATAAAAACTTACCACTGTTGCCTCTGTCTGGTACCACATCTTATTTTATTTGGTGTATCAATACAGAATGGTGACAACATCTTCACATCCTTCTGTGGTGTTACTGATGACAGTCGTAATGATCGACGTCTTGATGGTGTTTTGGGAGATTTTGCACTCTGTAATCGAACTCGTCTTCTAGTAGACATACGAAATTTCTGAAAAAAAAATACATTGATCTGTTCTTAGGTTCTATAATGTATCACACAATCTCTTGACCTACATTTTATCTGTAATATGTTATGTACAGTACTTATGCCATTTTCTCATTAAAGCAGTCATTACCTGAGTTGATGACTAAATGACACCAATTACATGATACATGTATATCATTTATCAATGTTTGCCTACATCCAATTGATAACATAGGTTTAATGAACTCAACTCATCTAGCTATTTAATGTCAGTCTGAACAGCAGGTATGTAACAACAGGTCTTTTTACAATACCACATACTGGGGTACCACACCTCCTTCTGATCTATCTTCACTTGGCTCCAATATCATGGCAGATGGCATGCTGGAGACTAAAGGGGGATTACTCTAAATGTCAAGATGTTTACTCCCCTACCCCCTAGTGTTAACTAATGTACTTTTACATAACATCAAAGATCTTGTACTAACAGATACACCATTAAATCACTATCACTTTCTATTTTTTTACAAGAGTAAAGGTGGCCATCAACTCATATATTTCTGTTTATTTTGTTAATGAAATCGTAAATCAAGAAATTTTCACATCAAACAAAAAAATCAGCACATTTGTAGAAACAAATAGGTCTTGCGTAATTTTAGAAATGTCACATGGTTCTGTCCCTATCAAAAATTCTTGAGGATAGTTCATGATTATCTAAAACTAACAAAACGTTTTGACACATAGAAAATCACTTTTGTGAACGACTGGAATACGTCTTTAATCAAATAAATAAATACTCAATAATTACTCTTCAACTTTAACTGTATATCTAATGTAATTTAGTTAGTTGGTGTGGTGGTTAGAACGGCTTGTTACTCATTTATTTATCCTATTAATTTACATTGTTGAATTGAACTTTCATCGTCAAGAAACAAGTACATTATCATATTCTTGATATATCAAAAGTAAATAACATAAACATATATGAAGAAAATTTATATAAGCTTTTATATGAATAAAATATGGTTTTTAAACCAATGTTTGGTTTTAGATATGCCACACTTTTATGGTACATGTACATGTATATTAGCAATTAAAATAAATAATGCAAGCACAGTAATCATTCAGGTTTAGGAACATGATATATAAGTTATATATATGTAACTTTAACAATATAATTTTCCAGTTTATTCTCATATTGGAATGCAGTCAATATTTAAAGGTTCTTTTAGCCAAAGCCTAAGGGTAAGTTTCTTGTATCAAGGAGTGCTTGGTCCAAACTGCTTTGACCTAGATCAAAGTGTCTTTGTTTCTTAATCACAGGATAAATACCATCAGTGGTTGAACAATATAGCCTCTTTTTTCCACCTCATTTAGCTTAGTGTTTTTATTGTACTTGACTTTTACCGAAATGTTTTTACTATAATCTGTTAATTATTGGTTGTCAAACTGAGAGTAGGTACAACAAATAATCAAACATAACTAATCAAACTAACTACTAGACATAGATAGAACCTTAATGTATCATAGGTCAACATCAAATTAAATGCAATGAGCATTCAATTATTTACATGTAATTGACAAGTAAATATAAATTGTTATTGAAAAGTAATAGTGGAAAAATTGTCCAATTTCTTGTTCCTTGGGCATAACAAAAAGATCACTTAAACTTAATCTTTACCTAAAAATGAATTGTAAGTGTCGAAAATGCAATATATACATGTGTTGATAACTTATGAATCCATTCAAATACAAAATGTAGCAAAATGTCAGAAATAATTATCTTGTATCATAATCTATCATGCTGACTGACTCATCAGACACAGACTAGTCTGAGTCATATGATATCATGTTTAAATTTTAAATCTCCCGCTTCATGCTGCCAACAGCTCTATCTACTATCTACCCTTCACTCCAATTAAACATGGCAGAAAGCAAATGCAGTTTTAACCTACATTGTGTAGTTTATTTAAATTGAACTTTAACCTGCAATTGTCTCAATAAGTATTCAAATGCAAGAAATTTATTTATGTCGATTCTCTCTGCCTGCATCAACAAATAAGCCATACATCTGTTCGCTTGTCCATACTTTGCCTGCTACTCTTAATTCACAAATATGCTAATCTTATTCGAAACTTATAAACTAAACAGATTTTAATTGTCAATGTAAACCAGGAAATGACCACAGAAGAGGTGGCAAAGAGAAGACTTTTGTAAGTTTGACTTTGATTGAATTATTCTGAAATCATTCCCATTGATGGGAACCCTAGTTAGTGATGTCTATTCATTAATAAATGGAGTGATCTGGATGACTGAATGTTCAGTGATTTTATAAAGACTTCCACTTCAGATTAACAGAGTCTGCATGAAGGATTTTCTTTATTCACACCATTGTTTTCTGATTACTTTGAAGTGTATTTGCAATTTATTTTAGAGAAGCTTTTTAATCTTATCAAATAAATGATAATTTCTTCCCACGGTAGCCTACATAACATATATAGGCTGAATATATTATTTTCTATACAATATTGTAGACAAATTTAATTTCTATTTTAAGTTTTGAGAATAAGGCTGAATGGATATTTAACAGTTAACATTAAACGTTGAATGTTTACTAGATATCTCAATAGTCAACCAAGTACTGAACAGTGGTTAGGTAACTAAATGCTATTCATATCACACCATATATGATTTTTCTTAAGAAGAGGTCCAAGAGGCTGTTAATATCTTTGAAACCAGATTTGTCTCAAATTTTAAATCCAATTATCTTAATTTGAACATTCCCCAGTAAATTTATTTTACCAACTGGTGAATGCTGAATACGCTTTAAGTGTTACTTGCTTAACTCAAAAACAATATATTATTACACAGTACTTATTATCCATAATCATAATTTGTTTTAAAAAAAAGGAAAAAAAAAACATATTATAGAACAGCAGTCATAGAGATCATGACTACTAAGATTAAGAATAAATGTTGATACTCCCATCAGAAATTAGCACTGACTGTATAACTTTTGTTACTTTCTATGTACCAGTTTCAGTTAGGGATATTTTATTTATTTTTAATCTTAACTGTGGTTGACACATATATAGTATAACCAAGGTCACAAGGTGTCACACTGGTATTTAGAATCAAATAATATTACAACAATCAATTGAACAATGATGACTGTTGTTATTATATCACGACTAAGCCTGTGGCAGTAATTATTCTGTCATAATTCATTGTTTGCAGTCCCCTTCATTGAAACTTCTTGAATTGATGCTCAATATAATCTATCTACCGGTGAGATAGTGGGGTATTGCCGACCGAAGAGGCGAAAGAAGAGTTTCATAATCTAAATCATGGATGATGACCTACATCGTCATCGTTACGATCGTAGGTAACATGTTTTTGAGTGTTGACATGTCAATGGTCAAGATGATAAAAAGTGGAAAGATTCATGTTTTAAAATTTCCATACCTGTCTAAGTGTACCCATTGCATCACGTACAGATTGGGTAACTTTAGAACCTCTTCGTGTTGGCAGGTCATTGGTGTTTGTGTGGTCAGTAACGTCCACAGCAGAACTTCTTTTGTTGTATTTTGGTGTGTTGAAATAGTAATTCTCCTTTCCTTCCAAAATACTGTATCTTCTTCCACGGATAGAAAATCGCATGGTTTTTCTTAGAGTCGCCATATTGTAAGTTTGTAACTGTTAATTTACCGAACGTGCTGCTATGCTGTTTAAACCAACCGCCAATGTCATGAAGTCAATGCTCATTCGTTATAAAAATGGCTAGTTCCTGTCACGTGATCAACAGACGACCACGTGTTGTAACTGGGTGAATAAAAATTACGGATCGGCGCTGATTGGTTGGCGAAATGTTTAAAGCGATTGGTCATGGTTCTGATAATTAACCCCACGCGACCAAATTGATTTAGCCTGTACGTTACCAAAAGAAAGAGATAATTGTTAACTCATAATTATTCACCGCACATATTAAAGACTTGCTTCTTATTTTAACAGCCGATTGATAATCGCGCACTGAACAGTAGGCCTAAGGACGGTAATGTAAGACAGCAAGTTATACTTTCCATATCTATGTCATAATGAAACCAATAAAACTAAATATTTAAATATATGTCCCAGTAAAATATTTGCAACAGCTGAATAATGTATTTAGGCCAAATTTAACATGTGTCTCTATGTCTTGCCAACGTGTTTCTAATTTCCATGTCTTGGACAAGAGCCGATAAAAATATGTTTCAAATAGCGGTTATTGTGCGCCTATAAAACAAACGGCATTTCGATAGCGCTTTATAAATGGAATTAGTAAGTCATATAAATGGATTTAGTAAGTCATATAAATGGCCCATTGTGACCGCATCCGCCCGTCATACCGGTATGCTATAAACAATTTGCATTATTATATTGTTATGAAATAGGAAATGGCTATAGAAAAATAAAGTAGGCAAATAGCAATATTGTTCCATCTATGATAATCTAATATTTATTCTAATATAATATATCACGGTAGGATAATATGTTGTAAATAATATATTGGTGTGCAATGACAATATCAAAAGTGGGCAATTCTCAATATAGTTTCATATTACATAATTAACTCAATTAACAGACCCATATCAATGATTGTTACATTTTATCTTTATGATAGTTTGTTTATATCTGGTATTCGATCATCTTTTTAACGTAATTAAAATTTTATAATTCCCTAGTGATCACTACGAGGATTTGTCGCGGACCTATAAAACACTAATAGAATTCCATTCTCTAAATCTAAAGACTGGAGACATAAAACGTTTTATCACCAACGTGCTATAGTCATTATAGATTATTATCTGAAGCTGTAAATTACTATATCCAGTTTTAGACGCAGGTGAATGTTTCTTCCTCCCTTTTCTTGCTTATGACCGCAGGGTAAATTTAAGAATATTTTGCAATTTATCAAATAAAAAATCTATTTTTGTGAAATATCAGAATAACTGACCCACCTGCAACCCCTGCAGATGTTTTATTGTGCAATTTCATGGTTTTATGAACTTTGAAAAATAAGATTGATTGGTTTCAGTCGGCAGTTCTACTCATGTATAACTTTTATAGTGACAAACAAATAACAGAAAAAAACAGCAAGCGACAGCTTGGTTTGTCCACTGTAAAACATTACTGATCATCAACAATCAGGGGCGTTTTAAGGTTTATCATGGCGGAGGCTATACTATTATGAGGGCCCTCTTTCGCGCGGGGGGGGGGGAGCCCGGTGGGGTTCCCTGCCCCCGGCCACCGGCGGTCGAGAAATTTTGTAAAATAGAAAACATTTTGGTGCATTCTGACATATCCTCCCGTAACGGTGTATTGAAAACGATTGACTCGGACTCGGGGGCCCTTTCCCATGGCCAGAGGGGCCCTTTTGGCAGACGTGGGGTCCTTTTGTCAGCCAAAAGGACCCTCCCTAACTAGGGCACATTTTCATTTTTCTCATCGTTTTTAGCATTTTTCTCCCGTTTTATTTTATCAACTTCTTTGATTTTTTTTTCGCGAGGAGGCTGGCTATAAAACGCTTTTGTCAACAATAATATAAGTTTGCACTAGAGATTTTTTTTATAACTGAGCCACAGGCCATTGTTTATTCAATCGACTAAACTGCACGATGGATCTTACACTTTGCAGTTATAAGTTTCCACATTCTATTAAGACTGAACCCCCATTTTAACACCAGTTTTCAAACTTGGTAACAGCTTTCAAGGAATAAATACAATAACAATACCGCGCAAGCAAGGAATAAATACAAACCTCGCTGGACAAATGACCCAACATTTCGCCGTGTGCAAACAATGTCTCTTCGCGGTTGGATACAGGTGTAAATTATGATGCTTCAGGTTTGATACCCAGATGGAATTAGGCGACAAACGGGATTAATGTTTGTCTAGATCGCCAAGAGCTCAGACATGAAGACTGGTCAACATTCGAGAGACTGGTAACATGAGACTAGCACATGCTGTTTCCCACCAGTCATTGTGTAAAGGATTAAAAAGGTGGGAATTGGCTTGAGTTTGAATTATTTTAGTAATACATTTGACACCAAGGGTAAAAGAAACATACATGTATGTGTGATTTGTTAGCGTTGCCTATCAAGACGAACTCGACAATTTTACAAGTTTATTAATTATTAGGCAAGATCAAAGAAATATTCAGGTGATTCATTATTTTCACCACTCCAACTTTACTCATTTCACCCATTTAACATTACACGTACGTTTAACCAATCCAGCGTACTAAATTTCACCCATTCAACGTTCCACGTCGACCACTGAATTGTCAAACACCCGTTACATTATACTTTATTCTTCATTTACTCATAATTTGTTGGCGGTTGTTTTGTATTTTTTTTCTTTGGGGGGGGGGGGGGTCACGATGGCTAAGTGGGTAAGACGCTGGCTGGCTAGCCTGGAGGTCGGGTGTTCGATCCCTGCATTGGCCTAGACAATTCATCCAGATTTTCCGGCGTGGTCTCCCCTTGTCAGTGATGCAGAATGGAGGGCCTGGCAAGGACAGCTGTCTAGTCGTTCGGATGGAAGGAAAAACCGATGTCCCGTGTACACATTGGCGTACGCGTAAAAGATCCCTTGGCAGTTGGAATTCGATATAAGAGTAGGTCGCAGCGCCGCTGCCCGGGCAAAATTTCCCCCATAGCACACTATATGGCGTATGCCCGTCTTCATTAGCCCAGTTTAGGAGCAGAACAGTAGGACGTTAAACTTCATTTCATTTCATTTCATTTTGTTTTGTTTTGAAAGAAAGTGTATAGGCCTAAATTATAAATATCCACATGTAATAATGTTTATTTAGATGTAAAACATGAATTACAGTTCATAATTAATTCTGTAATGGCGTCCATCAAGTCTGTAATATATAAAGTTAATGAAAGGTCAATTTACGGATCATTAGAACTGCCCAGGCCTGTCATTGTTATCCGTTCTGCTTAATGGTATAGAAGGCATGTACCACGTGCAGATTACAGTATTATAGCTCGTGGGTTTCTCCGGGTCCACCGATTTCCTCCCACATCTAAAGACCCCTACGCGCAAGCGAATTATTGAAATGAAATTGAATCATGTTAGCCCCGAAATGACCTAGTTTGTGTCGAGTGGATCTAAAACCTCATTTCTCTTTCTCTCCCTTAATTCCACTAAATTTGTATTCTAAATAAACGCAATGTTTATAAGGATACTTGTATTTGACTGGTAGTTCAAGCAGAATTTATTCGTTATTCTAGTATTTTTATCCGATTGTTAAACTGGAATCATTTTGGCTTCTGTTTTGATATAGTAACTACTTTATGCACCATTAAATTCGTTTTGTCATTTATTAACAGGCACCATGGCTCTTATCTTAGTCGTAATTAGTAAACCAACACATTATCTATGTTATGACATGACAAGTTTATCTATGTTAAGATCCCTCGTGTTTTTAGTATAAGATAACCTATCATATTATCAACAATCTTATACATCAGTCATCGGTCATATTAACGCTGGCTTCTGGAACCGCATTCCGCCCGAGCCCCACCGCCTTCTTGCATAAGAACAGAAAGTTAAAATGGCACTCGACCTATAGTTTACCAAGCGACGGACATCTTTGATTTCGTAGATTTTAATCAACTAAACGTCTTTGGCTTTGTTAAAATATTGAATTATTTTTGATCAGTGGTAGGTTACTCGCTTCTTTTTTTGTTTTGAAAGGTTAAGCTGCATTTAAAAAAAAATGTTGGTATAAATTAATAATAAAAAAAATACCCAGTTCCTTGCTGGTCAAGTTGAAGAAAACCAGATGTCTTTTCTGTATGTGGCTGGTATGGCATGGGTACGATTAGAATCGGATTTTGTCTGTCCACTTTATTTTGAAAATTAGTGAATTAAAAACTACAAGCCACCTGCCCGGGCCTTCGCGCCGTGGGGCCTCGTTCCGTTTGAGACTCTCGGCACCGTCAGAATAGTCCGGGCATAGAACGTTACAATGATGGTAAGCGCGTCATTGCTGTCAAAATCGTGTACATCTGACTATGATTACATCAGTAAAACTAAAACCTAGTACATGTATTTGGTATGTCATAATTATGTTGGGTTAATTCTCAGTTTCTATGTTTTAGCAAAGTGGTTTCCAGTTACGCCAGATAAACGCCAAAATGGAGACCATGTATCTTTCAAACATTGTTGAGCCCCGGGGGGGGGGGGGGCTCGCCCGCACTCGCCAACCGCCAAGTTGTTGTCGCTAGCCCTGCATAGGATAAGATAAAATGTATTGCATACCCCCCGCCACACCCCCTGCCCACCCCCATTGGTTTATTGAGCAATAATATAGCCCATATTACTTACAGACACAATGATTGTAATTTATTGTTAAAGTTAGCATATGTTGGTTGTAACAGATGGATTTCGGTAAGACATAAAATAAGGTGTTAAACAAATGTCTATACATATACTCAGTGATAAATTTAATTATCATGTTTGGTGCAATAAACACTTAAAAACGACATTGTAATAGTTAGATTCAAGGACTATCGCATGGACGATTGATATACTTAACCCACTCAAGTTAATTACCTACCGCGTTCAAATCACTCGCATTCAACACAATGCTAGATCGGTTTCACCATCTTTTGAAAATTAACATCGCTTTCTAGCGTGGATTCCTTGATTAATAACGGCACGAATGGGAAAAGGAAAGTAATTATAGATGTATAAAACTTTAATTACTTATCTGTAGTATTTACCGACAATAATCGTCCATTACTTACTCCCATGATGTACATATAACGCCCCCTTAACCATTTTAACTACAGATCAAACGTTTGATACCGAAAGCCTTACAAATAACATCATCATCATGTTGAAAGTGCTTATTGCTCTTATTCTTTGGAACCTTAAAATAGGCGAAAATGGGTCTAAAAGCAAATATTAATTTAATATGAATGTATATTAACTGATATCTATTCAATTTCTAAAATAAAAATTGTAAATTCTAATCAATTATGTTCGGTGAAATGCGCGAACAGTCAAAATGTTACGCATGCTTAGTCCATTCAACATGATTCTTCCTTTCAGAATAAATGCAATAAATTATTTGAATTGATAACATAAAATGAATGTCTTATTGGGCCAAAATCGCGCATTCTATTGGCTTCAAATGTCACATGGACATGGGTTTAAAGATAGATCACCTCGTCACAGTCATAACTTATACTGGTGCACTTTATCATATTCTTATAGCCTATCATCACTATTTCCATGTTCAGTATGAATGTGAAACTAAGAGCCAAAATTGAAAATATGTGTCTGTAGGGCACTTAAATAGGCTATTTCCTAGTGTTGACATTTGACAAAAATATATTTATGATGTTTCGAAATGTGTCAGACTGATCAATATGACACGACAAATCAACAGAGCTCAAAATATCATAATAGATAATATGGTATTAATATTAAAAGACATGGCGCTCCATCCAGCCAGTCAAAACACATCAATCAAATTTTGAAGGTCCAGAAGATAAAAGATTTGTCCCAGGATAATCTCTATCGTCCACGTTTAAACTAGAATTTATGACACGGTCGCATACCAGGTCAACTGTTACAAATAGCATGGATCAAAAGAATGTTTTTCAAAATCTTTTGAACAAGGTCACAGGGAACAAAACTGATTGCTCGGGTAACAATTTTCCAAATCAAAAATCAAATTTATTTACATCATGACCGTATTTAGGCGGGAGGAATCAATTATGTCTTAACACCCCATTTCGGTATTCAAATTTATTTTTTGTCAGACGCGTCCAAAAGATAAAAGAAAAACTAAATTTCAACAACAAAAACTATACTTCACAATATACTTTTTCGAAGAGTATGACCCCAAACATTCTTTCAATATCAATTAATGTTAATTTAAAATTTTACCCCCCCCCCCCCCCCACCATCAGAAATACGGTGTTATGTTCTATAGAGCCATCACATATATACAGTCATGGATGAAGAATATTTGGCTATGGAGGCTCGGAGATCTCTCCTCGGAGGACATTTGCGAAAATCGGGTGTGTCAATGTTGATTTGTGGTGCAAATAGCATTCAATTTCATAAGCTACCCATCACCCCAGAATGCTAGCTCAAACTTATTTAAATGTACCTCCGTCTTCATATTAGCCAAGTCGGAGCAGCAGTAGACCGTTAAAGTCCATTTTATTTCATTTCTAAAGTATCTTTAAATTAAAATGTTTCCGTGCGATGGTAGATTTCAACCAAAACGTATTAATCTCAGTTGTGTAACCAAATCATACACTTATATTCACTTCATATACATTTCATTTTGGTGCTGATAATAAAACGTCTAAAATTTGAGTTAATATCCTGTGAAGAATAGTTGACGATCTCATATTAAGGGCAGATTACTATTCAGCATGGCTTCCTATAAAACTCGATATTATGGAATTCTATCTGATCATTAGCAGCTCATTAGCACGCTAAATAAAAGATTACTTAACAGGATTATATTTTAAAACTATTCGAGACAGACAATAGTTGAAAGACTACCTAAATTACTTAAAAGTCACAAATATTAACGACCTTTATGAGAGAGAGTGAGAGGTGGTTGGGGCCATTAATTTACGCATTAATTTTTGTTAACGTGTATTTCCGTACGACTTCTGTATTGCATTCATAATTTGGTCAATAAGAGTAAAATATAATTTACTTTTTTGTATGGAAACGTCCTTCGAGTATACATAATGGCAGTGTCAAATTTATTATACCTTGGCTTGAAGTCCCCCAGATCTTAAGGCCCCAGGCTTGAGTCTGCCAAGTCTATAGGTAAATTCGGCACAGTGTATATTAACCTCTATGTATGAGCATAAAAAATGAAAACATAAACCCGTAACAGAAGCAAGGGGAGAAACTCCACGTTAAGTCCCAACATGTGGGAATAATAGTCAAAGATAAAGTTTAATACGCACATACAGCCAAAAGTACTGTTACCGAAAGGCATATTCAGATCGATAAATTCTAACAAGTTTTATGATCTCTTTAAAGTTTTTATTGGTGTCCATTAATTTTACACAGCCATCTGTATGTATCTGCAGTAGATGAAGTAATGCTAATGTTACTATCTTTTCTTTGTACCAAGCAGCTTATATTATATACTTCGATGTTTACAGTATGTATTAGATATTTTTGCCGTATGTGAACGATCTGGCTTATTCAGTTTTTAAGCCATCAGGTTTTACTAATGTTTTAGCAAACTTTCTTCATTTGATAACAATAAGACATATAGAAATAGATTTCACAAAATAAAACACTTGTATGGATTTACTACTTTTGAATTTAAATAACATGCTACGTTTCAATACACATACAGGTATCGTTATTTAATGATTTAATTGTATAAAAACGTACGTTCACAAAACTATTTTAAAACAAAATGTATCACACACCCCACCACCACCCCATCCTGACCCCAAACAATATAAGAAAATTTTAAACCTAGAGAACGGAATTATGTGTATGGCTTCTTATTGTGTGTGAGTTCTGATATTTTTTTTATTTCGTTTCGTTTTATAAACCGCATTATTCTGAATTCCAAATTTAAACAAGCCAATTAAGTCAGAAATTTACCTTTTTATTTATGTAATAATTTATATTGATAAATAAGCCACTTGCCTAGTAAATGGAATAAATAGCCAAAGTCTTACTTAGATAAATTTAACAATTTTTTTTAAAGTTTATCGTGCAAACGAGAATTTGCCAACATGACTAAATCTATCATGGCCGACATGGGAAACCTTTGGGAAGGTAAACAAAGTTATTTTGGTTATTATAAACGTTCATTCATCTGTTTTAGCAAGATATGTAATGTTTGTTTTACAGAGGAAGCTGTTTGTTATGAAATACATTAAAAACTAATTCATGTTCAGGACCTACTTCTTCTAAAATCGACTTAAATATAACGGCTGTGAGTCGTGACAGAAGACTGAGAGTGAGAAGTTGACGTACGGTATTGATTCAATTGACAGTATTGTTTTTGACAGTTTATTTTGGGTTTCTGAAATGAAACTGCTGTAGTTACAAACTTACTCCCCACCTCCACACCCAACTAACTGCTACGTAATTCTCTACCCCAGACACATTGTGAGCCATGTTGGCTCAGTGCTTAAGGCGCTGGCTCAAACTCAATGAGTGAATGACCCCAAGATGAAGATCCTTAGCTTAGTTGATAATATCCAGGTGTGTGCTAAGAGTAAGAAAGTTGCGCGGGATTTTCCAGCCTTGTTTTTGTGTATGACCATAGATAATACTGTATTATCTATGGTACTATAATACGACTGAGCTCTGTGTCGATGTGTGACTGTGAGCATATCAGGTTGACCGTCTCAAGACCTGATGTCGAACGAGAACACGAGATAAGTACTGAAGTAGGACATTAAACCCGATTTCATTTCATTTCTAGAACACACACATCTTTTAGATTCCTGCCCGAATCAGACCTTTCCTTGAAAGGCAAGTCATCAAAACTTACTGTAAACATCTTTTATTTTCGATAAATTAGATTTTAAAACCGAATCAGTATAAATAACAGCTACAATTGAACTTCATTGCCCATTGTAAACTGACAATAAGCGTACATGTATGTCTTTACATGTGGGCTACATGTACATTTATCTTTGATCATCCAGATCACTTATAAATGTATTGTGAGTAAAAATGTATACACACAAAGCTAAGGGTGCATGTATAATATAAACAAGCCCTGTCTGTATGCATTCACCATTATATGACAGAAGGTAAGCATCCTTCACACTAAGATGTCCACTTCTTTAATTTTTGTGTAACTTAAAATGTTGTTACTTAAATTGTTGAGGGTAAAAACTAAAACTTACAATTTACTAGGGTGATCAGTGATTATGATTTCAGGGTGTCTTAAAACAGACAGTCTGCAGAACATTTCATAACAAATGGGGTCTTTTTAACAATACCGGTAGGCTAAGCCTAATTTAACATAAATTTATCAACTATTGACAACCTTAAAAATAAAGCAGATTTTTAATTTAAAAAAATAGTCAAAATTTTGACTTCTGCAACCGAGAAACCATGACTAGTCAAAATTTCATTTTGACTGTTACAACTGAGAAACCATGACTAAGCTTTGCTTTTAGCATTCACTCAACATTTACCTACTTGGTATTACTTTCAATTTACTCATAGCTGCTTCTTTTCATTAGGAACTGCTGTTAAATCTTATTCAATAACTTTATATATAATATTTTCTGCCATTTTTTGAAATAAGATGAATCACAAAAAATCCTTCTTGATGCAGTTACAAATTATAGTTATATTTATTTTTTTCAGATTTACGTAAACAGGCTCGACAATTGGAGAATGAGATTGATTTAAAGCTAGTTTCCTTCAGCAAGTTAGGAACAAGTATATCTGCGCAAAGAGAATATGAAAGGTAATTGTACATGTATTTTTTGAATGAACTTTATTGATATGAATAAGTGCCCAAGAACAGCACTTCATAAAACATTAACCTGGAAAACAACAAATTTCACTGATCTCAACATGACAATATTGGCTGTGTAAGTGGCTGTATCCACTGTACTGTTTAGTCCTAAATAATAATACAGGCTTCAATTATCTACATTGTATGGAAATTTTTGATACATTCAATAACACGAGATTTGTTCAGCCTCTTGTTAATCTTTTAGTACATTAGTACTGTAAGATTGATGTTTTTCAATTTGGTAGTAATCTTTCATGAAGTTATGGGAGTGTTATCCTAGTGTACTAATACTGGGGTATTTAATAATGGAGTATACCAACTCTGATTGAGTATAATTTTGGTTGTTTATAACTACTTGTATTAATAGAGGACGAAAACACTTTACTTTTTAGCATGGCTCAGACAATAAATAGCAACTCATTAATTTCTGCAGTATAACCAAATTGTACATTACTAATTAATTTATAATTATTTATTAGCCCTACTGAAGAGCAAAAGAGGTAATGAATTAGTTAGTTTTTCAGGGCTTAAAAGGAATTTGTATCCATACAATTTGGTCCTCCCTCAATCTCTGTTTTATTTTAATGTATATGATAATTTATATGTATATATATTTATATTTGTAAGCTTCTGTGTAACTGGGTTTCATGTCATGCTATCGATGAATATTATTCTTCAAATGCCATTTTGGAATTTATTCGAATATTTTATAAAATTTCATGGACTTCACTTAGACAATATTCGACTTTACATAATATTTGTTTACTTAGTAGTGCATGTAGAGAGTCAAAAAACCAATCAACATTTTTCTATAAGTTAATTTCATCACTCATTTAAATTTATAGCTTTGTTTAATCTTGATTTGATTTGTTATACCTTTTATTAAATCTATCATAATTTGACTAACATTTTTTGCCAAACAAGACAGTGTTCTAGATAATATAATAGCATTATACTTAGAATTGCATGAAAGTTGGTCAAGGACATACATTTGCATTATCAGAAATCATATTATTCTATGTACATGTATAGTTAACATGAGGTTGTGAAACAATATTTATTCGAACTAAATAGTACATTGACAAAGGATTTTATTTAGAAGGAAAGTAAAATAATAGATTATTTTCTTGTAGCCTACATGAAATAAGAAGACATAAACAGATTATCTGTAAAACCATTATGTTTTGATAGTTGTGTAAAAAAAGGAATATCATATTTTGTGGAGATTATATTTTTATATGCATGGCAGTTGTCGCAGAATTTATACATACATACATGTTTTCTTTTTCAAAACAGTAAATACTGCTGTAATATGTATGTTTGCATTGTAAACTTATCAGTTTTAAGTTTAATATATAACTTGAAAGTGAGTAATGTGTTTGAGTAATTCTGTCTTTATTTATTCTTTTTAAAAGGAACATGTTTGCATGTGTCATGTGGTTAAGAAATGAGAATCGTCTTTTTTAATATATCATTGTGGTGATGGAAGCTTGGGTTACACTGTTTTCTTTTGTCATGGTCTTCTTGATTTTTTAATTTTAAGAAAAATCAAATTCTAGTATCCAATTAATTAACCAATTTGCTACCTTTTTCATATTTTGTAATAGACAATTAAATTATTTTGGCAAGTACTCCCAGAAATAGATTTTAAAATGTTTTAATTAAACTTATATTTTATTGATTCTAGTTGATAACTGGGGGGTTGGATGGCCGAATGGTTAGCGCATGCATGTTGTATCATAAGGTCTGTCATTGAGTAAACTGGTGTGGTTTTTATTGCCCGTTTGTATGTGGCAAGGATTAGGGTCGCTAGTCTAACCTCGTGGGATTTCTCTGGGTCCTCCGGTTTCCTTCCACTGCTAAAGACCCCTCGTGCAAGCAAATGAAATTGAACCATATGTTAGTCCCAAAATGACCTAGTGCGTGGACCTCCTCCCTCTCTCTCTCTCTATCTCTCTCTCTGATAACCAATACATTTGAATATTTCAGTGACACTTCACCTTTAATTAATAAAACAAGTAGTGAACATATGATAGAGACCATGGCAATGGAAATACAACAGTTACTCTCTAAGGTAGGTATTTCTTTATCTGAGGTAGGTTTTCAAACCTGGAGGTCCCAGGTTTCATCCCAGATCCCAGTGTTGTCCAAGAAAATTCCTCGGGATTTTCCAATGTGGTTTCCCCCTTGTCAGAGGTGTGAGAATGAAGCCTAGCCATCTCTATTAGCCTATTAAACCCCATTTCATTTCAAAAGCAGTATTGTGGGAAAATATCTGTATAGTCTGGAATATTGAAGACTTAAAAAAGCGAATTGTGCGGTGTATTATATTTGCAATTTTTATACACAAACATCGATATGTGGAAGTATTTTTTTTGTCACCTCAGGGCCCGGTCCATCTGTCCCTTCATGGATCACAATTTCCTGTGATCACTTCTACATTTATAAACCAATTTATATACTGACTAAAGTTATCATCCCATTCCAATGATATTTTACAGTATTTTTGTTTAAAAACATTTTGCTTTTAATTATGCAAAAGGTAAATCTCCCTATTGCAGGTCTTTCTTTAGGCCTGAAATGTTACCTAAATTATTAATTAGACATTAATTGACATGAAAAGACCATAATCATCTCTTGATGCCGTATTATGTATCTGATTTTCATTGGATTTGAATCCAATCTGCTGTTTGACGTCCATTAATGGTTAAATGCAAAAATGTATAATCAAGACTTTGTTAATAATTGTGACCGTGGTAACAATGACAATTGAGGCAACAGGGATTTTAAAATAATGTTTTCTGGGCTTAGAGTGAAGCAATTTGACTGGAGTATTCAGCATATTCCCTTTACATCATCTAGTGTGGACGCTCTAGAGACTAAAGTTAATATCCGATTGTGTTTAAATTTATACACCATGTTTAAGGTCATGAAACAAAGAGGCCTATTGTTTTTCAACGATATCCGATAATTACTTGCCAGAGTTTTGGTCCTTGATCACTTTGAAAAATCTTGTGGATGCTTTAGAGACCATAGTTATCATCTGATTGATTTTATATTTGTACACCGTGTTTACGGTCATGAAACGAAGACGCCTATATAATTGTTTCGATTGACTTTAGATTGATACAAGTATAGAGATGAACAAGTATATTGATTGATTTTCAATGATTTTTGATAACTTGAACAGCTCAATCCATTCCATGATATTAAATCAATAAATGTTTTATAAACTAAATGTTACTCTTAATCAGATTTTAGTATATTATAAATGTTTTATTGTTGACTTCCTGGACGATTCAGCTGTTGTGGTTGTATGGTTTATTGCCTGGCAACTTATCTTTATTTATGTACAATATTTAACATAACAGTATTTTAAATATTGAAAAGGTTGATATTTTTTATTTCAGTTAAATGAAATTAATGACAGAATGGTTGAATACACACAGAATATTAGTTTAAATTCTAATAGTGCAGCTTTAAATCACACATATGAGCGTCATAGAGATATCTTACAAGATTATACTCATGAGTTTCAGAAAACTAAAGCTAATATTACAGCTATTAGAGAACGGGAAGATTTATTAGGTTCTGTTCATAGAGATATCAAGTGAGTTATCGTATTTACTTCAAAGAACAAGGACAAACAAAATGTCAAGTTTACTATGTCTGGATATTAAACCGAATTAGGTCATCTTTTTGATTATAAATCTTACATTTATTATACACCCACATGGAAATTTCTTGTGAACACCAAAAGTTATCATCCGATTGTTTTAAAATTGATAAATTATTATGTTGTTTAAATTAGTGAGATGTAAAAGTCTATTTAATTTCAGCAATTTCCGTTTATTACATCTAGAGTTGTGGCAGCTGTTTCACTTGTCGAACCTTGTGAACACTCTAACATCTAAAGTTATCTGCCGATCTATATGAAATTTATACTATTCAAAAAAAGTAGGGGATATTTGATTTTGGGGGCATAATACTAAAATATGCAAATGACTACGAAAAAAGTCACTATAGAACCTAACAGAAGAAACATTTCCAGTTACATGTGACGCCCAAACGCACCAATAGCTACCGCATGGAATGCAGGTGATGCTTGGGATCATCATGGGGATCCAACCCAAGATTTGCACGACTCTGACTTTGAATGTTACAGTCATTGTGGCATTGAATTCCACGTTGGAAACATCAGTTTAATTGTTTTAGTGACCAGAAAACAAATTTTGATATGCGTCGGCTTACCCAAAATGAAAGGTTACGTGCCCTTGGCATGCTACAGATCGGCACAACACAGGCGGTTGTGGCGCGGACGATGAATGTTTCTCAGTCTGTCATAAGCAGGCTATGGTCCAGATACCGTGATACACAATCTGTACAGGACAGACCACGCTCAGGTCGACCAAGGGCGACAACTCAAGCCCAGGATCGATTTATCCGTACCTTGGCCTTGAGAAATCGTGTCATCACAGCAAATCAGATCAGCGCTCGTCTTCAAACAGACACTGGTGTGAGAGTGAGTGGCCAGACGATTCGGAATCGACTGCATAGGGGTCACCTTCGCGCCCGACGTCCTCGCGTGATCCCTTGTTTGAGAGATCATCACATTCAGGCAAGACGTCGTTGGTGTAGGGATCGTCAACACTGGGATAATCGACGCTGGAGCAATGTGATGTTTTCAGATGAGTCAAGGTTCACTGTTGATTTTTTGGACAGACGTAGGAGGGTGTGGCGTCGTCGAAACGAGCGCTTCCAAGACGTTAACGTCATCAGACATGATCGATTTGAGGGTGGTTCTGTTATGGTGTGGGGAGGCATCACTGTTGCTGGAAGAACGGCTTTACATGTTGTCGCAGGGCGTGTTACAGGCCAGTACTACCGGGACAACATCTTGGCAGTCCATGTTGTGCCGTTCGCACGACGTCATGGCCGCCGTTTCATCTTCCAGGATGACAACGCAAGATGTCACAGGGCCAGGATCGTTACAGGTTACCTCCAACAACAGAACATCACCACATTACCTTGGCCAGCACTGAGTCCCGACCTCTCCCCCATCGAGCATGTCTGGGACATGCTTGGACAGAGGTTACGTCAACGTCAACAACGTCCTGCCAATGTCCAAGAACTTGCTGCTGCGTTGCAACAGGAATGGGACAATCTGGACCAAAATGACCTTAGACGTCTCATTAGGAGTATGCCACGTCGGATCAATGCTTGTTTGGCAAACAGAGGAGGATTTACCCGTTACTGACTTGGTTGTGATGCTGTGGTAACTTTGCTGTTTGACCCCGGGTATCATTTTACCCTTATAATGGTCAGTCTGTGCCTTACTTAGTCTAACGATCATTTGGAATAAATCGATGAATGTGAACTTCATTTCATGTCATTTGTTTCTTCGTCAGTTTCATTAGGTGACTTTAATAACACTTAAAAATCAAATATCCCCTACTTTTTTTGAATAGTATATATGTATCATTTAAATTTGTAAAAAGAAGAGTTATAGCCCTTGTTTCACTTTATTGAACTTGTGAACGATCTAACGCTAAAAGTTATCATTCGATCTTTGTGAAATTTATATGCATTATTTAAATTTGTGAAACAGAGGTCTATTGAAATTTAGCTATTTCCGTCAATTACTTCTAGATTTATGGCCCTTGTTTCACTTTATTGAACCTTCTGAACGCTCTAACATCAAGTGTTATTTGCCGATCTATGTGAAATTTATATGCATTATTATTTCCGTTTATTACTTCTAGAGAAATGGCCCCTGTTTCATTTTGTTGAATGTTGTGAACACTCATCCGATCTTTGTGAAATTTTTATGCATTAATTAAATTATTGAAACAAAGAAGTCTATTGAATATCAGCAATTTTTGTTCAGAGTTATGTCCCTTGTTTTACTTTGTTGAACCTTGTGAATGCTCTTACACCAAGTCATCATCCGATCTGTATGAAATTTATATGCATCATTTAGATTAATGAATCGACGAAGCCTATTGAATTTCAGCAATTTACAATAATTAGTTCTAGAGTTATGACCAGGGCTGTCGGTAATTTTCACAGTTGATTAGCAGCACTGCTAATCAAAAAGTCCAATTTTGCCAAATTTGATTAGCAAAGCTAAAAATTGGTTAGCAGTTTTTCAGTTTCAGCATAAAACAACCCAAATAACTAGATATTACTTTAATTATGATTAAATTTCATTCTTCCATTTTTTTAGCACTGCCACATGTAGTTGTAACAGTTAGTGAATGTGATGTAAACTTTTGGTTAGGTCTTATGTCTGAAGCCAATTCTTGACAGTGTCTTCCGATGCCCCGCTCATTTTAATTGTTATTTCTTCGTTACTTTAGAAATCTTCGTTAGAAAACAATTTTGTCTGCTTTTTATCATGTATTATTACTATTTTTGTTCAATCGGGCGCACATCGATTAACTAGACAAACGCGCAATAATATTTTACGGGAATTCTTACTTTGATTTATCATTTTACAATACGTTAACATGTATTTATTATTTTATTTACAATACGTGAGGGATACACTGGATTTATTTCTTTCAAAATGAATGCTGATATAATTACTTGAAATTGGCATGTCTCGCAACATGAGTGGTACTACTTGATTCCCTATTTCCGGTTTAATAGTCCCTATTCATAGAGTTATGTCCCCGTATTATATTCATTGATATTGTATTATGAATTGAGTCTGGGTAGTCCGAAAAGAAAATGTCACACGGAGATTTCAGTTTTGTTTATAAAATTTTATTTGACATTTTATACACGTTGAAAGTGTTGAGAAAGCCTCCTAGTCTTCAAACTGTGGATAATCTTTCTGTCAATATCCAAAATGGCAGGCATATTAATGATTCGCAGTTACTGCGAATCAAAAACGTTAGATTTTAATTTTTGATTAGCAACGGACAAAATATGTATCGCAAATTGCGCTGCGATACTGGTTGTCGGCAGCCCTGGTTATGACCCTTGTTTCACTTTGTCGAACCTTGTTAATGCTCGATTGATGAAAGTTATCATCCGATATGGATGAAATTTATATGCATCATTTAAATTTGTGAAACAGAGGTCTATTGAAATTCAACAATTTCCGTCAATTATGGCCCTTGTTTTACTTTGTGAATCTTTTGAATGTTCGAATGGCCCTTGTTTTACTTTGTGAACCTTCAAATGACAGAAGTTATCATCCAATCTGTATGAAATTTATATGCATTATTTAAATTCGTAAAATGAAAAAGCCTGTCAAATTTCAACAGTTTCTGTAAACTACTTCCAGAGTTAAGGCCCTTGTTTCAATTTGTAGCATCTTGTGAACCCTCAAATGACGAAAATTATAATCTGATCTGTATGAAATTGTCTTGTAAATGCCCTCAATTACCTACAAAAGAATAAATATGTGACAACCCTTGTCGATCTGTCGGATGATGTAGCTGCTGTGGTCGTATGTTTCGTTGTCTGGCAACCTATCTTTTCCTTCTAATTACCCAAGAAAATAAATTATAAACCTAAATTGCATAATAAACCCACAAACATTTAGATAAGTTGATTATTACACACCGACAACCATTGCTTGTTTATCTTCATATTATTAGTGCATAGTAACCATGCTCATGCTCATTGGTACCTACTATAACCTACCCTATATTTGTATTATTTAATCCTTAGCCGAGTCCATGCAGAAAAACAGGACGTTAAACCCCATTTCATTTCGTTTTATTTAAAATATGTTTGGCTTGTATTCTATTTTGTAAGTTGTTTGTGGCAGTGGATGTACTTTCTCATCCATATTTATGTATTAGGATCTTTACTGTCAGATGAATATATTCATGTATATTACAGACAACGGCTTTTGAAATAATTATATGACAGTAGACTTTTTCGAAGTTGCGATATAGCATTCTGAAATCAAAATCAGTAATAAAGTAGGCAGTCTTTGCTACAGGAATATTAAAAAGAGAACTAGTTCCAAATATATGAGCTCTGTTTGAGAGGGAGTTGGAAACTTTCGGTCACGTCTTCCTGATTCTTCTCCTCCTCCAGTTCTCTGTAGTGATAATCTGCCTTGTGTTTGTTTTAAATGATAGAAGGTTTTGATTGAACTTGCTTCCTCATTTCACATTACTTTTGTTTTATTTCAGTGCATACAAAAATTCGTCTGGTTTAAACAGAAGAACAGACTTATATCTAAAGGAAAATGAACACATACGAAAGTAAGATTTATTCTTTAGCTTATATGTTGTTCTTTTTATGTCCTCTGGTACAGCAATTGATATTTAATAATCTTACCAGACCAGTAGACTAGTTACTAACTTTTAAAGATATCAGGGTTAAATTATTGAATTAAATATATTTTATTTATGCTTTTGCAGTTCAGAAAGATTAGTAGATGACCAAATAAGGTAAAGTTCAATGTTTACTATCATTTATGTTGTTTTATTTGCCCATATTTTAAATGCGGTACAGAACTCTTATTCATTCATTCGTTCATATAAACTAGACTATCACAATGCCTTATTTTATGGCATTCCAAATTATCAAATTCAACACCTTTAACGAATTCATAATGCTGCCGCCAGAGTTTTGACAAGTACAAAAAATCAGAACTCATCAGCCCCGATCCTGAAAAATCTTCATTGGTTCCCAATTCAAGAGCGAATCAAGTTCAAAATACTACTATTGACTTTCAAGGCATTACATGATCAATCAGCAAAATATATCAAAGATCTGATTACCCCATATAAATTCAAGAGAACTCTTAGATCCACCAATAAACAATTTCTGTATCAACCATCAGTGAATCTTGAAATTGCAAAAAGATCTTTCTTGTTCACTGCTCCTCTCTTAGGGAATTCATTGGCTTACAACATTAGAACCATTGATTCCTTGGATGCATTTAAATCTCATCTAAAGTGTTTCCATAGCTCAATAGAGAAAACTTGAAACTTCTGTTTTAGTATTATTGTTCTATATAAATCGAGGATTATTATTATTATTATTTTATATTGCTACACTCTCCAGTTATTTAACATTTTTAGGGTTAGTTAAAAAATTTTGTTTAAAATTCCCTGATCTCTCAGATGTTCAGGTTTCAAGATTTGTTCAAACATTTTTTTTATGACATTATTTGTACATGTTGATTGAGTTTTCATCCAATTCAATTACTTTGTATTTCTGTTTATTAATGTTATGTCTCATATTTTCAGTATTGCCATAGCAACAAAAGAGAATCTTTATTCACAGAAAAAGTTTTTAGATAACATTACGCATAAAGTGAATTCAATAGCCAGTATCCTTTTATACAACCCAACTTACTAGAAAATATGTATCTTCGAACAAAAATGAAATGGTGTTTAGCACCCTACTTTTCTAGTCCATTTGTGCTAATGAAGAAGGGCATTTACATGCATGCCAATTTTACTAATCAAAGTTAACTGAAAATGTTATGGTTGGGTGACCGAATGATTAATGCGTGCATGTTGCATCATAAGGTCTGTGATTGTGTCAAGTGGCCTGGTTTCAATTCCCTGCTTGTACGTGACAAGGTGTAGGGTAACCTGTCTAACCTCGCAGGTTTTCACTGGGTCATCTGGTTTCCTCCCACCACTGCTCCAATCAAGGATAGTGAATATACATTGATGAAAAAAAAAATTGATTTCTATTGTAATAGAGCTTAAAAGAATTATTAGGATCTATTAAAATAGAGTTTTTGACTTGCTAAATATAAGAGCTCAGCTAGTGAAATATTCAAAGTTGCCCTTGGGCATAAAAGATTTTACTGACCGTTGAAATGTCAGAATGATGCTTTATAAATACATTTATATATTCAACCTTAACCAAAGAATAGATCGTTTTCCAGTGATCAACAGTTTAATGCAGAGGATAAACATTCGTAAAAGACGGGACTCTATAATATTAGGTGGTGTGATAGCTGTGTGTGTTATTCTCTTATTATTATACGCATTCCATTAAATATATACAGTGCAAAAACTAATTGTGTACACACTATTAACCATCTTTATAATAATCACTTTGAATATGTGAAGTTGTAAGACGTTTCTATGAATGGGACAATACATTCTTGTGCAAACATTTAGTACATATCTTTTACTCTATATTTTAAACCAGGGAAAAAAGTCGGTGTTTGTACTTGGCATGTGCCGTCAATGGATGTGCCAAAAAGAAAGGGTTCTGTTGGGTACACAGTTTATTTTGATAATGTTTCTCACTGCTCTATCCTGTGTATAAGTGCAGGCTGTTGATTTGAAATTGATGTAAAGCTGCAAAAGTATTGTTTTTCCTTGATGAAGATCTTTTAATGTACCCTTCTCCAACTTTCTGCTACCTGTGAATGGAGAATTTTGAAGTGTGGTAATATCAATTCTGTTATTCTTCCATTTTCATCAAATGGGGTATTTGTGTAAAATGTATAGTATTCAGTGCAAAAGTTTTGACAGGTAGCATTTTTAAATTTTGAAATAAAAGTTAAGGTATGGTCATTGGATTAAGAGCACCTCTACTCACAAAAATGGGGCCATGTCAAATTTGTATTTTGTTGCTTTGACCCAGACTTGCTAATTAATGATATTGCCTGTAGTTGCTGTAGTTATAATATCAAAGGGAGGTAATTTGTGAGCGAAACATTGTGCTCATTACAGTAGTGGGTTGAATATGTTAGTACATTTAACATTAAATGTATGTTGCTACAATCATATGATGCTACTGTTTAACTATTTATTCGATGGTGTTAAGTTAATACTTGTGAATATAATTGAATATGCTATATATGTAAATTATTTTAACAAACTTGTATAAATCAGTTTAATTTATTTAATGCATGTGGTAATTATAGCCATATATATTTCATTATTAATACTGTTTTCTGTATATTAGCTATCTAGTAGTTTAAGCCACCAGGGAGTTTAAATGAAGAGAGTAGATTCTCTATTTAATTTAAGTTTGTATGTTGAATGCTTTCTGTGTAGATACCTGAAACTATCCATTGATCATATACTCATGTGTTAGGTTTAGCTGATAGGAAAAATAGGGTGGACAATCTTTTCAATGACTGTTTTTCTTCTGGTCCCATGCCTTTCAAAAAAAGCAGGACTGTTACAATGGTTTTGTTTGTCTTGACTGGATGTCACACGTTTTGGGACACAATAACACTGCTTCTAATTAAGCTAGAAACTTTAAACTTGGTGTATGTGTTTATTAGATGAATGTCTGGACTGAGTTGGATCATGAGTATTTTCTGCTTGTGCTAAGTATGGATAAGCAATTTGACTGCTCGGTGTTGTATAGAAAGATAAACATACAATTAATTAATATGTGTCATCACAAAACTGTTTGACACCCAATCTATGTCATCAGTTATCATGACCAATTAATTAACGTTTTTGACTACTTCCTTAGACAATTCTTGATGTGACCATTCGAAACTAATTTTGCGATGTAAAATATATAACAAAATGTCTTTGTATAATTATTGTGTCTTTTCTTATAACCTAACCAAATCAAATAAACTGATGTATAAATTATCTTGATATGAAATGAAACCAGTCTAATTAAAATTAGGCTATACAGTACTTTCTTCCTTTTTTTTTTTGTTTTTGTTTTTGTGTCATTTATATTAATTACACTACACTTCAGGCAAGTCTAAGAAATTTATGTCCAAATGCCTTTCCATTTGCTATGAATGACCTAATGAAAAGACGCCTTTCATTTGGCTAAAACTTTAGCCAAACTTCACAATGGCTCAAATCAATCTTTGAAAAGAACATACACCTTAGAAAGATGTAGTTAGATGTTGTGATGAGGTCAGAATTATATAAAGATTTCATTTTAATTAGATTAATTACAGTCTAATGGGTTATTATTAAATGTGAATATATATTTATTTTTAAGACTAATATATAAGCCATATATTATTCATTATCTACATAATTCACATGCATACATACTGGTCGTTAGAATCTTTAGTTTTCTTTACGTAAGAAGGAATTACAAATTTGTATACTACAAACTTATATCACTAAATGCAATATTTGAATCTGGTCATAAGTCTTAGCCCTTTCAGTCTGGATGAGTGGAATTTATGTATCATCGACAATAACACTCGGCAACAGAATATTGACATAATTTAGTCCTTATAATTATCATTCTAAGTTCATTACACATTATATGAAATCCATAGATTAATTCAAAATTGCTCATATTTAACATGGTTATTTAGTGTCATCCATCCCCTAGTTCCTTTAACTCTGATCTCTATTCAGGGTAATGTACAGATTTTATAATGTCTCACTTTATCATACCATTGTAAGAACTGTAACTTTTGTGCTGTGGTGGTTTTTACTGCCCTGATTATGTATTACCTTTAGAAGTAAAGCCTCCGTTGCTATTGCAAGTGGTTTCTTAGGAAAATACTGGTACATTTTTCAGTGACTTCAATAAGTGGACATATATATATGATATTGTGGAAGATTCCACTGAAGATCTGATTTTACTCACCTGATCCAACTCAAGAAAAGCAGACAAAAATTAGTAGCCTTTCATAAAATAGCTCGGTAGTATTTATAGATTAAGGAGTTTCACAAGTTTTTCAAAAGTGATACCTTCATTGTAACTTCACATGTAAGACAATTACTAAATCCAAGTGTGTTATATATGATAAGTTTTTATATTTATTTGACTATATGTGATTGATTTTAATTAGAAATAAGAAAATTAAAAATAAGTCCTTTTTTAAATCTGTTTTAATTTAATTATCTGTCTGTATTTATCCACTTTTACATAATGTTTTACAGCTATATATTATGTGAGTATGTGTATATGTGTTTAGTCGACGTCATTTAGTAACATCTTTAAAATATAAATGACTTTTTCATACACATATATTGCTTCAACAATTGAAAGTAGCTTATATGATATTGACACATGAAATTAATTTATATTTTTAAAAAAGCTCTAGAATTGGTGCCTTTATTATGGAAACCCACGATTAAGTTATAGCTAGTGTATTTGTAGATTATATCTTTAAAAGGGATATAAACAATTTTCTCGTTCTAAGATTATCCCTTGAATTGAAAAATAGCCGCATTTATTACTGCACATAAATGATTTAAGGAGAAACTGTGAATGAATACAGAAATGTACAACTCTCATAAATGTTACTGATAATGATATATAATACTGGATAATTATATATTCTGATCAATAACACCATCAGATAAATGTAGTGCCTTGACATATGGTGTTTATGAGAAGTCATTTAACCCAGTAATGGTCATTTAACAAAGTAAAAACACAAAAATAAAAACTTTCTTCCTGCATCAGATTTTTGTAAAGGATGATCTGAGAACTAGAATATTGTTTTTGTATGGCCTTATAGGAAGTATAAAAGTGTCATTCTGCTTTTTTAAAAATGATACTTTGTTTTACCTAAGATGGTAGATATATTTATCTGTAAATGAATATAATTATGTTTAAAACCAGACTGTATTATGCTTTTTTTGAACTATGCTATAATTGTGATATAGTTGTTTTCATTGTTTAATGTATATATTTGTAAATAGGTGGTCAAAATAATAAAATATATAAAATATTACTTCAATTATTGTATGTACATTTTATTGTCAAGCTGATAGAAATGCTGTCCATACAAGCTCTATAAATCAGGCCAATGTACAGCAAACCCAATAGCTGGAAGAATTGTAATCTTGCTTTGAAATATTGATCGAGGGACCCAATGACATTTTCAACCTTGCAAAAGATGCACACCCTTCCACAAAGCCCTGTTTTTCAATTATTGGGCAAACGGTGTCAATGGTTGAGTGAGCATAAAAATGGATAGGCCTAACTTTAGGGTTAAATATTATGCTTAAGGCCCGGTCCCAGTGGCCGATGGACACAAAACGTATGCAAAAAGGACACAGCGGACGAGCAAACTTTCAGGGGTGGCTCAATCCGTTTTCATCCGCTCCAGAAATGGACAAAATTGACGAAAAATTTGCGAAAACAAAACGGAAAAGAACCAACGTGGGAAGTATGTAGCGGGGATGTTCATCGGAAGCGTAGCGGATGGAAGTGGATGACAGCTCCGACATCCTTCAATATACCAGATACATCACAGATACAAACGCTTTGTCCGTTTTGAAAACTTTATATACGAGATGCATATGCTAACATCCTTTCTATTTCCGTGCTACTAACGATGGATAGACGTTCCATGTACCTTATCTTTCCTCCCTCTTTCCGTTTTCAGCTGGAGCGGATGTGAGATCGTATGAAACACATATGCAATGAGTACACAACGGATGCATGGCGTTTTCAAACGGAGGGCACGTTTTTTCCCCGTTTTACATCCTCTTTGCATCCGTAAGTGCAGTGGGACAAGGCCTTTAGGTATATTTTGAGAAACAAGATACTATTATGAGTAACAAGCTATTGTAATATACAATAGACGCTATTGTGGGAACCTTAAAGTAACATGATACAGCGATATGTAAATTCTGTCCTGTTTTTAAAAAACATCCTACTTTTCAGCAACAACTGGGATAATGAATTTTGCCAGAAATCGAATTCCTACTGTCAAGGTTTTTTTTACGTGGTTGATTATATTCGCCTTGAGAGCGAAAATATAGTTTTTACTAATGGTCGGAATAGCGTAGCGGTGGCTACAGCCCCTGATCCGAAAAAAATATGTCAAAAATAAAACGCCTAGTCCCGCCACCACGCAATTTAAGTCATTTAGAGAATAGCAAACAGCTTTCCAAAAATTATAACTAGAATCAACTGAAACACAATAATCTAATAATACTGCTTAAATATATGGCATTTTCAACAGCATTCTACGTTAGATAACAGGCGGATTAATTGCAAGGTGGCCCCCGGGCGAATATTTCAACCATGATACTGCAAACAATATAGCGCGCAACTCAAAACCACAGCAGATAAAACTTTTGGTCTAGCAACCAGACTGCCTAGTCTTGCTGTTTTAGAATAATGCACCTTAAAATTACATTCATAAGAGACCTAAATGTGTTGTTTGGCCTTGGTGTGATACTTGACCCGTGAACTTGGATCAACCTGACCATCGGTTAAGGTTATCATCATCAACTAAAAGCGTGACAGTATTTCAGTTATCAACATATTATTTTGACCCGAATTCATCGGAAATGGGGCGAACTTCTGGAAACAAACGTCATTTTCCCAAAAATAAAGTTGATCAAATTGTCATATTGTCAAGACAAGACTATGACTTAATCCTGAAAGAAGCCCCCTGTAATCTAAATCTGTTTTTGAATGGCGGCCTTTGTCATTGTCTTATTTTCAGTGTGATTGGAGAAACTTTTATGTGGCCTGGTTTGTTCCCCGAAATGTTTAAGGAAATAAAAATATTCCCCGCGAGCTCAACTAATCTGTTTCAAAATCAGTTGTGAGAAATAAATATGTAATTCCAATTGCCTGCACAGAAGACCACACGCCTCTACTCCTGCATTAAGTGTCGGGAAACAGAAATGAAATGGGGTTTAACGTCCTACTTTCCCGCTCCAAATGGATTACTGAAGTCGGGCTTGTGTTATATTATGAGGCGCTATGAACTATAGGGGATCTTATACGTGCACGCCACTCGACTCGACACTGTTCTTGTCTGGTCCTAGACCCGTCCTGTACAACTGACAATGGGACACCGTGCCGTATAATCCCGAGGAACTTTCTAGGTCAACACCGGTAGTAAACTAGAGACCTCCTGGTTACCCGTTTTGTCACCTCGGCCCCCGTCATGAAACAGATATACCAGTTGGACTCACATGATTCTAGAGAACAGAACCCATTAACAATCTAACATTATATCCCAACAATTACCCTGACTGGGTTTCATTTGAATAGGCATTGATTTCAATGTGACAAACATCTAGACTATTGTCAACAATATACTCAATTTTATATAAAATGTAGCCCTACTCCATTTTTGGCAAAATAGCACTGAATCAAAAATGGAGCAAATCGTTACGTCGCTGCTTCGGCGATCGTTTGGCTGACTTAAATAATCTTGTATTTGTAACCAATTTTTCGTGTTTGATGTCAAGCCATTTCGACGAGAACAACGAAACGTGGATCCGACATCTTGATAAATTTTACGCTGGCGACGACGAGGACACCCCGGTATCCCCAGTGATATAATACCGGAACGATACTACAGGGGATACTCATCTTTCGTAGCATTCTATAATGAATTCTGCCCGGAAAAAGCCTATCCAGATCCGAGATACCCCTTTTATATCTCAAATGATCTCGATAGGGCTTACCCGAATGTCACCGCTTTAAGAATATTCAAGACTATTCCAGTGAGCTCGGCCCAAGTTCAGCGAACTTTCTTTCAGCAGATTAAAACTGACCAAGAACTATTTGATGCGATGGGTGAATGATAGCCAAAATAAAACAAAGCATATTGGAATTGTAGAGTTTTGGTTGGTTGAACTTTAGATTGCAATTGAGGCGTTGCCTTTAGGGTTTTGGTGGACGGTGGACCCCAACGGGTTAAAATTGCCCCCCCCCCCCCCGGCTCCGAAGACCAGATATATACGCCACTGTTTAGATGGGATTGAATTATTATATTCCTTATCAATAATATTGTTTGACAACCTCGAATATTAAACAAAATACCCATTTGACATATATATAATCCATGTGTGTCAATATATATCTACGCAAACAAGTTTGATGTTATTTCAAAGGTGGAATTTTAGTACACGCCCAACGTTCAAAATATGAATTGATAGATTCTGATGGCAGATGAATAATACCAGGAAAGACTGTTCAAGATAGTTCATTAAAGATGGGTTCCCAGAAAAGTATTTATCGGGTGGTTATTACCAATAAAAGTATGGTAATTTTGGTATATATGGAAAGTAGAGATATCCAATCACTCATGGAGCGTATTCAGGACAAAAATGTAAGGGTTCCCATAATCAACAGCCCGACGATTAGGAATTTCTGCACGCGTGATGTCAAAGGTCACACGCGAACATCGGGCGCTTGATGTACAAGTTGATGAACATTATGAAGAGTTGGACGTAAAACACTTTCTGAGATAAAAATGACGGAAAAAAACGCGGGTAGTGGATAATCCGAGAATTTAATTAGGTTTCGATATTTGTAATAAATAGTAAGCGATTAAAGACAACATCGTCTTATGTATGCAATGAATTCTCCTCTGAGTACTAAGAGAGGTAAGTCACGTGACGTAAACATGACCTGATTTGATCGAATTTTTTTAGCAGGACATTCCTTCGCAATTACAATGTTTGAGAAGGATTTGAAGCAAAATTATGACAAATTAATTAATTTGAATATGTTTTAAGTCCATATATACCATTAAATCACATAATAAGTAAAAGTAATTTTAACGTCCCTCTTTCAGCCACGAAATTATCTCTGTGACTTTAGTCTTGGGGTGGGTTAACCTATTCACGAGAGATATTCAGATTGATATATAATAATTAAAAATAGGCCATTGATAATGGGATATCGAATGTAATATGAAGATATTTTCATAGCTTAGTTAATACGTGTACAGTGGTTTACACGATCCACCAATCAGACGGTTTTTAAGATAATTAAATACGTATCGATGGCATTGATGTTTGGGTTTGTGCAAAAAGGTATATTTCAAGTGTTATGAAAATTGTCAAGAATTAGAAATATAAGTAGTTTAGAGTCCCATTTCAGTCATGAATTTACATTGTTTTTGAAGAATTGTTAAGACTATCGCATGTTAGATATGTGCATAAGCTAGAAACACCATATACCCTAGAAAGCACCATTTACAGTCAGAGAGAACCCCCCCCCCCCCACCAACCTCATCCCCAGCCCCACACTACACTCATAGAGTGGAAAACCGTCACGGGTCAAGGATCAGACCGATCCTAGTATCATTAGGGCAGACAGTAACCACGGGTCCGTGGGGAGTGTGAGCGGGGGGGGGGGGGTGTCTCTCCTCCCCGGCTCCTCGAAATTTCTTTTGAAAAACTGACTGTAAATGATGTTTCCTTTAGTATGTCCTGGTGTTTCTAGCTTTTGCACAAATTTGGTGTGTGACAATCTTATCGGAATTTAATGTTTTAATCCAATATTGAATTCAGTAACAACGAAAACCTTATTTTACAATCAATATCCACAAGAACAAAAATCACCATATTGAATTCTATTTTGATTGTCTTTTTAAATTCACACCATCTGGCAAAATTAAAACCCTTATATAAGAGATATTATAAGCCATATCCAAACTACAGTGGTTTCTTTTGCGATTTGTTTGGGATAAAATGTTATCCCTCACCGTCTAGCATTATGTTTCACTAGATCACCCAACCAGATTATAGTACATTAATACCACAGGTACTTGAAGGGATTAAAATAAAATTTGTTACATCTGTTTGACTACTTAATACTGTAATATATAGTCAAACAGTTGTAACAAATTTTATTTTAATCCCTTCAAGTACCTGTGATTAATACAATATTCCCAGATCACATTAAAGTGAGGGTAGACATTGTTGATTGAAAAATTTAGTTGACACCTTTACATTTGATGTGAAGTTATTG